TTTTCTTTTTGTTTCTCCATTTTTATGCTCTGGTTGGTTTGCAGTGCCAGGCCATTAGATAACTTCCATGCACCTCAATTAGCGATTTTTCGCCGTTTTGCCACCTTCCTCGCAATAACTCTAGTATAGAAGAGTAGAGACTAAATCCATTCCGCCGAATTTAGATAATTTAATAGATCTTTCATTTTAACCGATTAATAGTTTGAGAAATTATCAAAAAAGTGTCTTCCTAAGAACATATATCTTCTACAAGCTAAGCAAAGCATTCACAGATAAAATGTATTATAGTTTCTTTTTTCTGTGGGTTTCCACAACTTTTGGAGTGAGGATTATGGAAAATGCGCAGTTTCTCTGCGTGGATTCCTTTACAACAATGACCAAAAAGAATTGCAATAAGCCTTGCAGTGTTCACGTGGTATTTTTTGATGAGTTCCAAGCATCTATTTTCATTATAGGTGGGCGATGTTAACCTGGAAGTTGCAAATGACTAAAGTGCTTTGCATTTTTTATTGACAGGTTGTAGAAAGTAGAGGAAGATACTATTCTTAATGGTCTCTAGGGTAATATAAACCGGTAGCCTCATTGACACATCCAGCGAAGCACCTAAGCGCGCTAGACTGTCAGCTTAGACTGTCGTTCCCTTCGATGTTCCAATATCCAGGAACCCAGATGAGGATGATATCAGCCAACCGATTTAGCTCGTCGATTGTTTATCTACATTCCTTTACTATTTTTGATTTTGTTATGAAAAATTCAAAGGCTTTGATTACTGCTTGGCTGTCAATGAAAATGGCAATATTAGGTAGCCTAATAGAATTATTTATGTTTTCAGATGGTACGAAGATCCCTGCTCCTGCTCCCCACAATTTATTTTCGAGCCATCTGTATATATTGAGATATCGTAGATTGTTTCGAAATGTTTCATTTTCCATTCATTTCTTGAAGGGAGTATTGTCTGAAAATTTCTTTTAATGTTTTGTACTCTATAAAGTGTTAATTTTTTCCTTTTTAAATAACTAGAAAGAAATTTGTATGTAATTATTTTTTGTTGTTTATTTTATATACATACATATTTTATACCTTATTTTCAAGTAATTATAAATTTATGTATAAAAATAAATTGGAATAGAAAAATTTACCTCACAAAATGCTTATTCATTTCACTCAAAATTAGCACTGATAATAATAAAGGCATACCAACATTTGCTTAAACATGCAGACGGATTATCAAAGACCGTTTCAAAGACAATGTCTTCGAAGACCAGTTTTCTAACTGGGTTACTATTTACATTTTAATACATATAACACAAGCAATAGATACAAATTTGCCAACACTTGATTTTATACGTAAAGATTCGCTCATTCGAAATGTATTCGGCTTTTGATTCTTATTCACATTTTAATACATATAACACAAGTAACAGCTGCTTATGCAAACTCCAGCCTTTATACAGATTTGATAACACTTACTTTTAAACGCAAACATTCATTCATTCGAAATTCATTCGTTTTTTGTTATTATTTACATTTAAGACATATAACACAAGCAACAGCTTGTAAAAAAAATACTTTTATTTGTCATTGTGAGTACAACTTTCCATTTCATATATGTAGAAGATATTAGAAAGAATCTCAATTCAATAAATACAATCATACAACTCCAAAAACCAAAGACAAACTATGAGATTCATTAACACATCTAAAACATTCTCTAATAGACTACTTACTTTGAGCAAAGAGGATGAAAAAATGTTCATCAGGTTTCTAACAGCGCATTGTAGGCATCTTCCAAAAAGGATTGAACTTTTAGAAACAATTATTTACTGCTTCTGAGAAATGAGCGTTGAAGTGTCTAAACACTTTCTCTGTGAAAATGTTCTCTATATTCTTTCTTCTTTGACACCTCTATGGCGTTAAGTTCTTTAAAACATCCATTTCTATATATATATGATATGAATATATGATATTTACTTGAAGAAAAATTTTACGTTGCGACCGCAGTACATTAACATTAATTGTGTTGCAATATAGCAAATTACTGATTGTTAACTGCACTTTAAATAAATAAAAACCAATTTATTGATATATAAGCTACAATTTGAAACAGAATACAAATGTATCAGTTTTTTTAATATAACTTTTTATATAATATAAAAGATCACTTTGTACGGCGTTTATTACTGCCTCCTATAGCAATTTAAATACAAATAATAGTAGTTCATATTTATAAATGTTTTGTGCTAAGTTTTATTTTAAAATAGAACAATTCCTTCATATTTCTTATTTTGACCCAAAAAATTATATCCTAATTTTATTACATATTTAAAATAAATATCTTGAATATTATACACAAAACAAAATTTAGAATTGTAACAATTTTTAGCTACTATATTAAGCCAGTTATCAACAAGTTCTTTCCTCGTTCTAAAAAGCTATCATTTTCACCTTTAGAACTATTAATATTATTATTGCTATTTTTTTCCCTTTTATTACTTTCGGGTATTAACTATATTTTTCGAATACCCTATAAGATAAGGTCTTAGAAACTTTATACGATATCTTTCGAATACCTTATAAGATAAGGTCTTAGAAACTTTACACTATAAACTACTATTACTATAAAATAGTAAGAATTACTGCAAATTATGTAAAAGTGATTGATTAATCTAACTGATAAGAAACCTTATTAATCTACACTGCATTGAAATATATGTTCCGGGACTATTAATCATTCGATCCTAAAGTAAATATTTACTTAATCATAATATAGTAATATTACTAATAATATTTGTAATAATGTTATTAATAATATTTGTAATAATATTACTAATAACATTTATAATAATTATTATGTTGAAGCTTTTTTTTGAGCTAGTGCACTTGAGCACTTTGACTCTTTCTTAACTCGAGGTAGTTTCAAACCCCCTCTTTAAGCATTTTCTGAATTATTGTTTATCACTTCATCAGACTAAGCAATAATTGACCTCAGATCTGCATACCTCTCCGAGGAGTCTGTAACCATTCTGAGATTTGTTAACGCGGCGTTGGTAAGTCTGTCAGTTTTCGCAAATATTTTCAGGGCTCTATCCTTTATGTATTTTTTGATGGGATCAATCTTGAAGTCCCTGAGGATGTCATTCGTCCTAATGTACCATGGTACTTTGAAAAGTCTTTTCAGAGCCTGACTTTGTGCAATTTCTAGCTGGCGAATAGTAGTGTAATTACCAATAATATTAATAATAAATTTTCTAAATTACGTGTTATTTTTATATTATAATTCAATTAATACTCTTTACAAAAGCATTAAGTTTCTATTCAGGTTATTTCTACTACGTTTAGTTGACATACTTATTTGTTTAAATAATTATTATATTTACGTGCTATACTATTATTATATACCAAACGGACAAAATTTCGAATTTACGTTGAAGCCCATTTGACAAAACATTACAGTAGAGTAAGTTACTATAACTTCTTTCACACCACTATAAATCGATACAGTTCACTTCTCAAGATGTTGAGATTTAAAGAGGTAAACTAACAAAAACTGCATGTAACCAAAATAGATATATGCAAGTTTCACATTGATAGTTAAGGAAAAGGTTATTCATAATAATTGTCTTTACTAAAATACATTGTTAAATAGGCATGATCGAAAAATTAGAAATCGCGCCTAAAGTCTGTTTGAGATGGGTTGATGCATCTTTTAAGCAGTTTTTGGCTTTTACAGTTTACGCAGTCATTTTTAAGTTGGCCTACTCGCTAAAGTACAACATACTTCAGATTCAATCGATTAATGTCAATTAACTAATAAAGACTTATTTGATGAAACAGTTAACCATTTGATAGCATATCCCATTCCTTTATATCCCGCTCAGAGTAGCATAGTAGGCTTGCTCTAATTTATTGGGAAATTAGAGCACAGTTGTATAACATTCTTGAAAGAATTTTGGCATAGCTTTAAGCGATTACGAATGCATAGCTGTCAAAATTTCTGTCGACCCCTTATAACGAATTAATGGCTCATTTGATTAAACAGACAATCTTATTCAGATTGACGCGTTTGCTTTACCCTAATTCATTGGAGAATGATAACCCAGTTGCTCTGCAATTTTATCAGATTTTTGACACAGATCAGGACAAGTAACGCCGATACTTGTCTAACATTACGTCAATTGCCTATCTATTAACTTTTTCTTCAGACATTTACGAACATTGCTTTCAATATTTGACTTTTACCATGGTTTCTTGAAATGAACGGCCCTCTACACATAACAAAAAGTTATTATTCTAAAGTATAGATTTATAAGTATACCAGATTTGTAAACCCTTACTATTTGACCATAATAATAATAAAATGTTTAAACATAATCCTAGGACGTAGTACACCTACCCTAGTGTTACCATTTAAATCTTTGGATCCATACTTGCGAACCCTCATTTTTTTGAAGACAGTAATAATAAAATATGCATACACAATCTAAGGTCCTAGTATGTCAACCACAGTGTTACCATTGTAGTCTTTGGATCCAGACTTGCTTTACGTTTTCGGTTATAATAATAATAAAATGTCCAAATATAATCTTACGTCCTGATACATTTACCTTAATATCATCATCCTAATCTTTAAATTCAGACTTGCGAACCCTTACAAGCTTAGATCTCTACCTGTTATGGTTACGATCAATATATATTTCTTTTACAAACAATCTCTGATGATGTGTAACAGGTGTAAAGGTCGTGCATAGCTGACTATAAAAATCTTATATTTCATTGTCAATAATTGATATTGCATAAGGTTTCGAATAGTAAATAAACAAATTTTTTCAACAATTATTTTTAATTATAATAATATTAACATATATTTTCGTATAATTCCATACTGGCTTATACAGACACAAACGTACACATATATTTTTCCGAAGTATAGCAATGTTTCGGTTCAGTGGCTTAACGTAGAACGCTTATCACGACCGATACGTACTGACTATAAGGTTCTAATCACTCATTTCAATGTTGAATTATTCTGCAGAATTTTATTGTGCCGCTTTAGTATGACTTATCGCTTAAATGTAATTCAAATATGAAAGATATGAAAATTGTGAATAATTAGTAATTATACTTAGTAAGGCAAACAAAACAGTTGTGCAGTTTAGGGAAGCTCCGACTAACAGAGATAGAGCAGCAAAAATCGAGTGCATAAAGTGTTTTAAATGAGAATATAATTAAAATTTTAAAATTAAAAACAAACAAAGCTCATTGGAAGAAATGTGGTTCTTTTTAATTTATTTTGTTTTAATTTTATTAATTATACTTTTAATAAAACACTTAAATAAAACTTATTATTTACTTTCGCTTTGTAAGCGAGTAAAAACCGTCGATGGCGCCGAACTCTCGAGCAAAATAATGACGATACCCGGCAAAACAATATTTGGTAATAACTTCGATGTGCTAGACATGACTCCAGGTTTGAACAGTTGATTTATTATAATTTTGATAATTACATATAACACTATATGTAATTTGTAGAAACCATATTTCAATTTATACGTACAAATAACAAAATGTCGGGTGGCAAAAGTTATATGCTGCATTTTATGAATGCGGCGGTCTATAATGTAATAAATGCCGAAGATGCGGAAGAAGTTCTTCAAAGCCAAAATCTGATAAGGAAAAGTGTTATTTATAAATTGATAGAGCCATTTCTAGGTGAAGGTCTTTTGACAAGTACAGGTCTGTTGATATAGCTTCTTCAATTCCATCGATTTTATGTAATTTTCAGATAAAGTATGATAAAGATTTCTTTTATAGATCGTAAATGGCACTTCAGACGTAAGACACTAACACCAGCTTTTCATTTCACAATTCTACAAACTTTTCTAGAAGTTTTCAAGTAAGTAATATTAAGTTTGAAACACATTTAAACTAGATTATATATTAAACCAAAATTTGAAGCTGAACTTAAACTGATAAGGCAGGTTAACAAACAAAAATCTCAACAATATAATCTGAAGTCCGCTTTTTGTTTTGTAGCCTGCTAAATTTTTTAATGACTTGTGATTTTATATAAAAAAAAATTATATATAAAAATAAATTATATATAAAAAAATTATATATAAAATAAAATTCTATTTAAAAAAATTATATATAAAAAAATTTAATTGAAAAATAAAAAATGTATTTTGAGTGAAATAAATTACTTATAAAACTTATAATCTCTTATAAATTAAGCTCTTATCTCTTCGACGCTTGCAACAAAAAAATTCATTTCTTTATCTGTACTTTAAAAGCTGCTCCCTTTTTTTTAAATATATCATTAAATACATTTTTTCACAATTATTAAGTGTATATAAATTATGATCAAATATTTATCGAGACAACCTAAAAAAAATCGCAGATATGTTATGGACTAACAGCTGCTTGGGTGATGCTACTTTTGGTACTTGCAAAACAATGGATAAAAAACGATTTGAGTAATGTTGAAGGACTATTTTTTTAGTTGAGAGAATGACAAGAGAATACAATGAATTAAAGATTCTCTTTAACGATGTTACACTATTTGGTGATTTTCTAAGTTTAAATGCGACCCTACAACAGCTATGACGATGCACATGCTATGTTCTCGATTTCCGTGGATCTTCAATAGCAGGGCTGCAATCGCGGGCTAATACAAATCACTATACAGATTGAAGGGCCGCAGAAACAAATACATATGTTACATTCAGAGTTGTTTTCGACAAAAAAAAAATACGGTTATAATGTTAAATTCAGTTTTATTAATTTATCAATTTAAATACATTTATTTGGTTCACCATAGAAATAAAATAATGTGATTTCACCAGTGCACCAAAAAAAAATTTGAATAATTTTAGTAGATTAGACACAGGCCGCATGTGGCCAACGGGCCGTACTTTAGACAACCCTGTTCTATAGCACCAAATAAATATTTCCGAAACAAATTTAAGGTAAACTAATTTTTAATACCTAATAGAATAGATACGGTTTTCCATTTCGTAATCCTGATTTAGCAACGCTGCAAGAGTAATTGGAGCTGTCATCATATACTCAATTCAAAATTTTCCATCTTGAAATATAGATCATGTGATGCATAGAATATACGCTCGAATTTTTATGTCATGAGACTCAGGTTTACTTTTCACTTAGTGGATCAAACAAAATTATCGTATCTGGGGTAATGAATGTCTACACAATGATCTTTTTATCGGAAAACTATTCCAACCACAAGGAATCAATGTATGGTGTGCCACCCTTTTAGAAAATGACAATGGTATATACAGTGTGGTATTTGATCTGGAAATGTAATAAGCACAAAATTTTGATAAAAATAATTATACACATCGCTACAAGTCTCTTCGCTACAAGTATATAATTACCAATTTTTTTTTTTACATGAAATTGAAGATATGAATACAGAAGATATATAGTTTCAACAGGACAGAACATTACTATTGTAAATTCTTCATCAAGATCATGCTATTTATCACCACTCTACTTCTTTTTATGGAATTAACCCTTTGGGTCTGGGCTTAGATGGATGTTATTATAATAAGTTTTAAAAAATCGTCGGAGAGTATCTAATACATAATATAACCGGTTTCAACTATTTTTTACAATATCATTTGTTATTCTTCAAAGGCGTTCAATGCTTCAATGCTTAGTGTGTGTATGACCAGCTAATGAGTGAGAGGAACAAAAATGATTTTTCTAATTATTTTTATGATTAAATGTCGAAAGATCGAGAAGAAATTAACGATGACGCGAGGTTTGAGAATACTAACACGTTCATCAATGATATAAAAGCGGAAAATTTTAATTGATTGTGCTGTCCGTTATATATAAAACAATTATCATTAGAGAGATTGCTTAAGAAATAGCAATGGCATATAGATTATAGAAAGCAATTTTCAGACATGTTTTAGATATATAACGAATGACAGGAAAACTCGTTTAGGGCGACTGAATTTTTAATAGAAATTGCAAAACGTAACCACTGATAAATTATTCTTTAAAAAGTGTGAACTCAAAATTGGAGAGACCCATCTGGAATATTACAAGGTAACAACACAATGACTGCCGTAGGTACTAACTAGAATGTCAATTTATTAGAAAATAAGTAATATTTATTGGCTTCTTCGAAAAATAATTTAATTAACTTAATTTTAATTGTGTTTCTTTTTTACAGCCAACTCGGACTTAAGCCACATAATCGTAATATAGTTTGACATATTAAGCGATAGGTAGATAAAAAAGGTGTGGGACTAGATTATGAACAACATTTAACTCAAAACAAACGAAATTGTTTTTCAAACAACCCTATATATTATATTTATTATAAGATCAGAAAAATATCATAAGAAAAAAGAAATCTTCATGGAAAGTAAAATCTTTTATTAGAAAGATGTTAATATATTACTTTTTGAATACAAAAAGTAATATATGAGAGAATGTATTCAGTCCTATTAGAAAAATAAAACCCTCTATTTTTTTATATATTAGTTTGATTAATTGTTTCTTTTGTTGTGAGAATCAAGTTTTCCATATTTTTACAATGTAAAAATTTCAAATAATGCGGATACGAAATAATATGGAAAATCTACAGATTGTCATTACCTCCAAAACTGAAAATGGATTGCTTTCATAAATTGTATATCATAATTGATCCCATGTACATTATTTAGATTTACATAAATCAATTAAAATATTCATAAAATATATCAAATACATAGAATAATTTTATTAAAATAAATAAAATTTATTACAGAGAGGAAAGTGTAAAGCTTTTGACAATATTTGGCGATTACGTTGATAAGACCATGGCTCTGGAAGACGTAATACCACAATTCACACTAAATAATGTCTGTGGTGAGTATTCAAATATAAATTTTTGCATAGAATAAATTGTTTTAAATTATATCCGTAATAATATATTTTACTTTTAGAAACTGCACTGGGTGTTAAATTAGACAATGTACCTGGCAGTAAAGAATATCGTCAAAGCATACATGCAGTAGAGCTAATACTTGTACATAGACTTTGTAATCCCTTAATGTATTATAACATTATTTTCTATCTTTTTGGAGATTACAAAAATCAAAGCAAATATCTGAAAATTGCACACGATTTTTCCAGTAAAATTATTCAAAAAAAACGCGAAGAGTATCACAGTCTTAAACAGGCTGAAATAGAAAAAGGAATAATACAACAAGATGAGTTCAGGTAAATATTAAAGTAACTGAAAATAACTTCAATAAAAACTAGATATGTAAATCAATACATAATCGCTAATACCTACCCATAAATATATATCCATATATACGAATATATATTATATATAAATATTTATATATCACATCATCCAGTACCCAGCCATAGAATCAGTTTATAAGCAAATACTGAAACTTTTGGAGAAGAATTAAAACCATTGTGTCATTGTAAAGCCCGCCTATTTGGATGGATACAACATATTTTTACAAAAAGAGAATATTGTTTTTTTATAATTAGTCTAGCTACTTTCTGAGTCAGATATTGTATATATTATTATATATATAATAATTGTATATATTTTTATATATATACTAATTGTATATATTATTATATATATAATAATTGTATATATTATTATATACAATATTATATATTTCATGTTCTGTTCCACATAATTTGAAGTGATGTTTATGGGAAGAAGAAACGATATGCTATGTTGGATACGCTTCTGGCAGCCGAAGCACAGGGTCAAATTGATCATCAAGGCATTTGTGACGAAGTAAATACTTTTATGTTTGAAGGTTACGATACCACTTCAACTTGTTTAATTTTTACCATATTCAATATGGCTCTAAGACCCGATATACAAGATAAATGTTTCAAGGAAATCGAGCATTTAGGTAAGTAACTTTAACACTACATATGTATAAAAACAAATATAAAAAAATATAAATAATATAAAAAAAAATAAAAAAGCATAAAAAAATATAAAAACATATTTAAAAAAAAAAAATATATAAAAAAAATTATAAAAAAATAAAAAAATATATAAAAAAGAAATATAAAAAAATGTATAAAAAATAGATTATATATATATAAAAAAAAAAAAATACATAAAAAAAATAAAAAAAAACATTAAAAAAATAAAAACAAAATTTTTAAAACAAAAATATTTGAAAAAATCCAACAAAACATAAAAAAATAACAAAAAATTAAAAAAAAAATAACATAAAGAAATTAAAGAAAATATTTAATATAAATATAATAAATATAAATATAAAAATAAAATATTAAAAAACAAAAAAAAATAATTTAAAAAAGAAATGGATTCATATTAAAATTCTATACTATAGAATATGTGCTTGCCATATAATTCTTTATAATATATTTTTTATTTTTCTTATAGGTGATATAGAAAATCTTACAGTATTCGACTTCAATAAACTGGAATATCTAGAATGTGTAATAAAAGAAAGCCTACGTCTTTATCCATCTGTGCCATTTATAGCACGTGAGTGTGAGAAGGAAACTGTTATAAATGATCTTATCTTCTCTCCGGGTTCACAAATTAATGTGCACCTATTTGATATCATGCGTGATCCAAAACATTTTGATAATCCAACTGAATTCAGACCGGAAAGATTTTTACCAGAAAATACAACAAATAGACATCCATTTGCTTTTGTACCTTTCAGTGCGGGACCAAGAAATTGTATTGGTAAATATATTTACAAAAAATTTCTAATTCTTCAGATCCTTGAATCTTTTTAAATACTTTTAGGTCAAAAATTTGCGATACTGGAGATTAAAGTTCTTCTAGTATCATTGATAAAAAAATATCGGTTTTTACCAGTAACACGATTGGAAGATATTATATTCGAAAATGGTATCATTTTGCGCACAAAACAACACGTTCACATAAAACTGACAAGAAGATAAATCATTTAAGGATCAGAAACGATGAATGAAATAGATAATAACTTTATAAGGTTGACTTTATTGATTTATACTTATATTTGAAAAGAACTTAATGCAATAAAATTTACTTTTGTATATCTAAGTATATATATATATATTAAAATAATTGTTATATAATATTGACGAGTTTTTAAGATTTTAAATGTATTGTTCACTGGTGACGTTGGGTGTGCGAAACGCATTATTTTAGGAAAAACGGACACGAAATACCTTCATAAAAGTTCCTTTTAATAAAGTGTACGAAGATATGACACCGAAGATAGTCCTAAGCAATAATTGATAACAGATGGCATACCACAAAGATCAATACTTATCACTACACTATACACTATATTGGAACTCCCTTATTATGACTTATTATAAGTATAGAAACTAAACGGATTATCAATAATTAATTGACGCCTAAATATTAGGATTATGTAGTGGCTTTACGGTGCAATGTTCAATTTCATTCTATCTTATGCATTTCTTGTTCTGTGGACCATAGCACAACAAAATATATATATAAAAACTTTATATATCTATATATCTATATAAAAACTTTATTTTATAGTTTAAATCAATTCTTATTAAAGATTATTGTATGAAATATTTAAAAATGTTTGTTTCTTTTTTAGGTTTAATCAAATTGTTTACAAAATTATCGTTAGAAGAAAAACGAGTCATTCTTTTTGTACTAATTTATTAAGATATTAACTTCAGAATGAGACACATTAGATGTGGGAATGGGACCGTCATCTTCAATGTTATTTGACGTATCATTATCAATTTTGAACTTATATTCAGATCTAGTTTCACACATTTGAACTTGCATTTTTGAATGTGTTTCATTAAAGTGCGCATATTGGGAATTTCCCTTATTTTTTTTTTTTGTAAACTAAGTACGAACAATAACATTTATCAATTTTTTAATTTATTATTATTATTAAAGAATACACTTCAAATTGGTTTTTTTCCATCTTTTCTTACTGGGCAATTTCATTCTACGATTTTGCCGAGAGACAATTGGGAAGGAACCATTACCATTTTATCACATATTATAAAAAAAGTTATTATATAAAAAACAATTAAAAATAAAATAACCAAAATAAATTTCAAATTTTAGTTCGCAGCGCCACTCATTGTCGACTGACAAGCACTAAGAAATCAAAGATTCTGAAAGCAACAAGTATAATTTTTGACAAAAAAAAAAAACTAAAATGGATATGTTATAAATATATTTAAAATTATAATGCATTTCTGTTGCAAAGTTATTGTTTTTTTATATATATACAGTTCTATATACCACAAATAATTAAAAAAATTTTGTATTTCAAACTTATAGAAATAATTGCAATACATTTAAAAAATATATTACAGTGCCCTCTGTTATCAGTTAGCAAACTGCATTTTGAAAATGTTTATTTACAAGTATATATTTTTAACAACGATATTTGTTGATTGCAATCAGTCAAATATATTATTTTCATAAATTACACTTAAGATATAAATATAAATTTATTTCTAAATTTGCATTGAAAGTAAATGTAATTAATAACAGAAAAATATTTATTTTAGGTTTTGGAAATATGATTATTTTATTTTTAAAATCAAAAACCATATTTTATTGCATTAGTAAGAGAGAGATAGTTATCTGGCACTGTTAAATTTGACATATTACCAAATGGTTAGCGATAATAACAAGAGCAAAAAAAAAACAAACATAAAAACAAAACATATTTGGTTTAACACAGAACACAACAACAAAACAAAGCATTTTAAAGCACTGACAACACACACGCACAAGTGAACATGCTGTAAGCGCAAAGAGAAGCCACGCAAAGTTTCATTAGTAGATTTTTCATAGAATTATTGATAAATTTCAAATGGGAAATTTTTTTCACACATTTTTGTTTATTCACTTATTTGACAACTTACCATGTTTGAAATGCAAAAATATTATGAATATTGTCAAAATTTTTGAAAAACAAAATCGTACGCGAACACAAAACAACAACATTTCAGCCATTTTTAATTGAAACTGCTGCTGTCGGTGTAATCGCGGTTGAAAGCCAGTTGAAACAACAGAAAACAAGTTGTGGAAAGCAAGTGTCAGAAATGGAAAATAAAAGGAAAATAATTAAGAAAACTGTTTGGCGCCAGGCATTGCTTATGCTAAGCTTTTAAAATTCTACAAATCTTGAAAATGCATAGCAATAAAAATACGCAACTAAATGGCGTGGAATGGCTTCCACAATTGCTAGTTACTCTTTCGTTTTCTGACGAAATTTCTTGTCAACACATTTTTCTGTTTGTTTATATTTTGAGTTGTTCTACGCCAGAGCAAATCATACAGCAGCGAAAAAAAAATTGATTCTTCCTTAGTAATGACAGAAATTCAATATTCAATAATAAAAGTTGCTGTTTTACTCGTTAAAAATGTTGATCAATTAAAAATTTTGTTTACAATTTCAATGAAGTCAAAAGCCAAACATTGGAAAAGGCACAGTAATTGAAATTAAATGAAGCTGCTATTCAGACACATGTATTCCAACTAGAATTATGTAAATATTCCAATTGGAGTATTTAATTAACTATTTTTAAAAAAATATTGACAATAAATTATCAAAATACTGACTTAGTATTTAGGTTTATATATGTATTCCAACTAGAATTATGTAAATATTCCAAATAGAATTATACAAGTATTCCAATTGGAATATTTGATTGATTATTGTTTAAAAAATATTGACAATAAATTAGCTAAATACTGACTTAATATTTTGGTTTATATATGACTTAATATTATTTAACTAAAAATCACTTTTAATTATTATGTTGAGGCTAGTTGAGTCAGTGCACCTGAGCACTTTCATTCTCTATTTGCTGAGAGGTTTCTTCATAGCTCCACTCTCTGCGCCTTGACTAGATTATTGTTTATCATTTCAACAGACTAAGCAATGTTTATTTGCTTACAAGAATACTGAAAGACTTCTTAATGCTTTAACTTATCCTTTTATTGTTGGGTATTCCCCTTTGTCATTCGAATAAAAAATCACCAAAAGTTATCAAAATTCAATTCAAGATTTAAATTAAAAAGTTAATTAGTTTTTGTCACATTTTTTTTAGGCAGATTCATTTTACATGGAAGTGTATGTTATTACAATTATTTAACAATAAAAACCATTATTAAGTAATAGCTAAAATTATATGTATAGACCATAACTTAAACGAATGGATGATCTATTTATTTTGATGGTTGTCCTGCTCATTTTAGACATCAAAGAAATAATGCCCAAAAGTATGATTTTTTATTAATAAGATTTATTTTAAATTATAAAATTTTTATAATTTTATTTTTAATAAATTATTTTCGATTCATTATTATTGTTATTGTTGTTGTAACCCGCTGGGACCTGCTTGTGAAGTCCCTTTAAGGAGATATTGAATGGCACCCAATAGCACCGGAAATTAAAGATCCCTATACGTACAAGCATTCTGTTATAAACCCGTTAGATTGTTCAAGTACAGTATTTTTATTATTTATTTCCTTTCTTGATAAGTAGTGATATATTATTAATTATTATTATTATTAATATTCATTTGCTTATTTATTTATTTAATTTAATTTATTGTTTTATAGTTATTATGTTAAGTTATAGTTCACAAAAGGTGTTATTCCTCTTAACATGCTGAAAAAGTAGCAGAAATCTACTGCTCTCTTACATAATTATTACAATAAAAAAGGACAATAGTACACTACAAGTTATAAGATCCATTGTGGCATCTCAGCAAGGGGTCTTCCAAGTTACCCTTAGCAGTTATATTATTAATATAATAATGTATATATATAATATTGTATATATGCAATACCTAAAATTCATATATATGTAATATACAATATAATATAAAATAATATGATAGATAATAAATAAAAAGTATGCTTGATTTCATATCACCTGAATTACTTTTACTGGTTTTAATAGTTATAATTTAAAAAGGATCAGTATGTATATATTATATAGTAAGTTTTGTTTTTCTATTTATATTTTAAATATTAATAATACTAACGAAGAATAATGAAAAAGTAAACGAAAAGATAATAAACTGATACGCCTGAAGCTTATAAGATATATTACAAAGCAGTTCAGAAAGAGAATTTGCAGGAGACTCTAATTAAAAGCTTAATTAAATTTATCATCAAAGTATATATACATTATATGTACCATATAGACTATAATACGACGTTGATGCAGTGAGGGAGACTAATCCACCTCGGGTATACTTGCAGAGGAACGACAAATAGTACCTAAAACAAATTAGATCTTCCAGCAAGCTTCTATTTTTATTTTAGTCAGTTTCTCTGTTAATATATATTTAAAAAGTATTTTCAAAATAGACAATATATTACTTTTTAATATGATATAATTGTAATATATGATTATAATTTATATATATTACAATTTAACGATACTTTTATTTTTTGAGAATTCAATATATTAAATATATTGTTCAATAGTTGAATATATATTAAAAAAATTTATATATATTTTTTATAAAAATAAAAATTTATATTTTTATTAAAAATATTTTTTATTTTAACCGACATTTCTACCATATTCTATACTCATCCTTAGGGTACAGTACCCCTAAATTATATTAATAAGCCCGTTAAAATAACAAAAGTATCATTAAAACATTTTTAGTCATTAAAACATTAAACATGATATATTCTTTTTCCACTAAGTGGAGCATTAAGTCTCATTTGTTTTATAATTTAATTATATTATTATTTAAATACATTATAGTTTAATTATATTATTATTTAAATATAATATATTTTAATTATATTGTAATTTCTATAATGCGTGGGTTTCGGTAAAGTCAGTAAAAAAATATGCTGCTCAGGCACCCCTTGCGCTCGATACTTCACCTAGTTTTAATACATAACACCGCCTTTCCCCATCATATATTATGAAGCTAATATTAGGTGTAAAAAGAATAAGTGGAGACCCGATCTAAGTCATCTGCGCAATTATTCTTTTAAGATATAATCGTATTTCACCTTAGGGAGAAGATCAGAAACACATAGTTGATGTAAATATACATCAGTGGCGGAGCTAGACCAACTCTGCACGACGGCGACATCAGAATTGCGAGGCCCCCTTTATAACCCAGTTTTATTGTTAATCAAATTAAAATAAACACAAATTAAAATAAATGAATTTTCCTACTTTGAGCTTCACTCAATTTTTTTTTAAATTATATCATAATTTGCGCCAGCTGCTATTTTTGCTTCATAGAATTTCCAATGGAGATAGTCTCTCTTGGATCATAATACTTTTCTAGTACGTCTTAATCAATTTTAACTTTGAGAAGCTTCTTTCCGTCGAAGCTATACTGACTGGAACTGTGAACATGAATCTGGTTACTATAAAAACATTCGGGAATACTTCGAATATGGTTAATGCCATTATCAAACCAAATTGTTCAAAATATTTATTAAGTGCTTAGAATCCACAGTCGGTAACTTTTTGCGAGGCCCCTGTGGGCGCGAGGCCGTCGGCGGACATCGCTGACGCCTAGCGACGCCACTGATATACATATTCACTTTGTGTACACTATAGTATGAATAATATGAATCCAATAAATATATTAAACAATATATCTGTATATAACTACCAAATATAAGTTCAAATAATTTCCATATATACATTCAAACAACGAACAAACTTAAAAAATGTATATATATATAGTATATAGTAATGTTGAATGATGTGATTTCTAGAACTAAGTAGAAGATAGACCCTTCTTTATGTATATAACAAGATTACTATTTATACAAACAACTCGTTAGATTTCGACTAAGCCAACGCAGCACACGATGGAGGCTAAAATCTTGGGAGATTCACTGTATTATCTGAAACTCTATTCGAGCTTCAATTTAGCAATGAGATATTATCCACTATTTTACTAGATGTGCAGTTAATCCATCTAAACATATCATCGTCATGAAAGATTCATGCATCAAAACATCAAAAGCTAACGTCAGCGTTAGCATTTTGAAAAATTTATTAAAATATTCTCCGAGACGTCGTTGGAGGAGGCAGGAAGATTATTGTAAAGTTATTTCAAATACGCTACATAAAACGAGCTACGTTCAAAGTGTCACTCAAATTCTAGCGAACTGGACTTATGAACTTGACCCGACTAGTAGGGGAACTAGGAAATTGATATAACTAAAATGAATCGAACGTACAATATTATAATATAGAAACCAATTAATTAACACTTTTTGTTTTAAAATTATTATAAGTGTATATACTATATATTAATTAATATACATATATAATAGAATATACTAAAATCATAAATTGTAACATAATATATACTCGAGATTGTAGAAGAACTCTTTTGATATAGTTGAAGTTCGCTAGAACATCCGGCATTATAGTGATATCTATTTTTAAATGATTGAAAATATATTTAAATTAATGTGGTACCAATCCTTAGCAGAAAGATGGCTCTAATTGCATTCACAATGGGTTTGTAACATCTCTAACTGAAAAGTTATCAATACCCTGAAACAGATAGCCAGCTGCTATCTAGATAACATAATAGTATAATATATCATATTATGTCATATATCATATTATATCTGTATGATATTATATATTCAGATTTTTGTATATTTTATTGTATATATCTAAAACTGTCATATATCATAATATAATCGTTTTTTACCTAGCACCATTGGCGTCTAACGTTTATCAATAATTCGAGTTGACTTTTGTATATATATTTTTGTAGGTCGGGGTCCATTCATAGCCTAATATTTAATAATAATTAAATTTTTTTTCTGTATGAAGAATAGTCTGCATTTATACTGGAAATTTAACTAATATCCTTCAACTATTGATTGGACACCATTTCAGGTGAAATTCATGTTTTCGATATTGTAAAAATTATTTGGGATTTGCAATCTGTATTTTGATCCACGAAATACTTTTTCTAGCTAGAAGTTTTCATCCAATAAAACACTTTGGAGAGTGATTGCAGCACAGCATGAATCATAAAAATACTATATTCTTTTTGACGAGGTATGCTTTGCACAACGTGACAACAGGTGGTAAATGGAAACCATTTAATGGACACTTTAATTGTGGTGTTGTCAAACATTTTGTTCCTCCGGTCCCTTAGGACCGCTACCACTCAAACCAATTTTCAGTACAATTATAAATTCACAAATTCTCTAATGTTTCCATTTAGCGTTTTTCTTCACAAGCACACACAGCCACACGCAAATGCACCAGCCGTCAAGAGCACCACGTGCACCGCCGCTGCCGCTACTCGCACCACGTTTGTTTTGTTTGTTCACAAATTTGCACAAAATTGAAAAAGAGCAAAACTTTTCAGGTATGAAAAAACACTTATTTTAATTTTATTTTTAATTATTATTTATGAACGTTTTTGTTTTTGTTGCCAATTGTTTACAATACAAAAATATGCACACTGTGCATACAAAACAAACTCGACGATATTCGTTCAATATTTTAAATTAAAGCGTGAATTTAGAGTTTGAATTTTATTTTTTGGCTTTGCCAGTTGTTTTTGCGGCAGGTTTCTTTGCAGCTGCTTTGCCAGTTTGTTTGCCAGCTGCAGTCTTTGTTGGCTTGGTCACCTTCTTCTCAACAACTTTAACGGCCTTAACTGGTTCACGTTGACTCTTCAATGCTTTGACGATCTTTTGTTCTTCGATCAGGAAGGCACGAACGATACGTTCTCTGAGGCAACCGTGACACAAGACACCACCATAAGTTCTAGCGACAGTCTTTTGACGCTTGGACAGGCGAGAACGTTCGCATGGACGTGTTGGTCTGATGCCCTTCAACTTCTCCTTACATTGGCCACACTTTGGTACGGTCTTGTTTTTCTTCACATATTGATAGACCAAACGACCGCCGGGTGTGCGTACACTGCAAATATTTAAAAATATGCATTAATATTTATTTTTGAAACGGCCACATAACTTAACAAAAATAATAAAATATAAAATGCATTGACAATCATTTTAGAACACTAGCAACTATAGCCGCTTTAGAACTGCGCGAACAACAACAAACATAACAAAAGTTGCTCCACAACAACAGTAACCAGTAACAATGCAATTTTATTTATTTTTACTATTTCTGTGCACTTAATTAAATTATTTAACTTACACACGTCTGCGATTTGATTTTGTGTTGTAGGACAGACGTCTTCTTAAAGTTAAACGTTGCACCATTTTGTCTGTTTTTAGTTTTTCACAATTTCAAACAAATCAGCCAAGTTCACAAATTTTTCGCAAGTTGTAGTTTTCCAGCCAAAAAAAAGGTATGAAAGAAAAATAAAATTGCAATTAGTTCAACGGTTTTATAATATATATTTAATATCAAACAGATTTTCCACACAAAATTTTCTTCTAATTACGTTATTATTTGGATGTTTTTAGATTTTTTACGATTATCAAAAATTTTGACATACACACACCTTCAAGAAGTAAATAGGAAAGGAAGCCGCATTTGATGTAGCGAACGTAGTTAAGTCAGTTGCGCCTATGTGAAACGTCAAAAAGTCAGCTGTCAATTCTTAAAAGTCATTAACAGCGGCTAATAAAGTACAAATTTTAATGAATTTATTTATTGTATTGAAAAATATTAATATAGACTATTAATATTATGTACAAATCAATTAATTGCATTTATGTATTTATTTATTTACTAATTAATAACATACACCAAAATATCATACATTTATAAAAATGAGTACTAATTCTTTTTGTAATAATAGCACATACACACTGTCTCATTTAAGCACTTGCTTATTTATGTTAATGAATAAATGTTGACTTTATAATTCGCTCATTTATGCAGCTAATAAAATTTTCATAAACTTTTATAAACTTCACTTAACAACATATCACACAAAAAAAAATTAAATATGTAATTAATATACAATTATCAATTGATTAAATCATTTATAAATATTTTTTACATTTCCTCTTAAATTTAGGCACAACCAAAGAACACCAAAACATTAGTGGCTATAATGAGCAAAACCGCCTAAATGAGACGGTGTGACTGTACTATAAGCCTTTTCACTACATACATTTAGCATGCTGAAACCGTGCTAAAATATTGAAATATATTACTAAATAGCCATATAGTTTAAATGCCTTTATATAACATAAAAAACGCTTGAATCATTTAAACTTTTAAAATCATTCTCAATATTATATGAATTAAAGCCGATAATAGCTAAATTGACACCTATAACTTAACTATTTAGCATATTAGCACACCCTATAGCAACTCAATCATAATAAACTGATTTATAAAATTATAAATATAAAATATCATAAGTATGATTCTACTAAATAATTATGAATTTTTTACTATAGTCTAGTGTAACAAGCTATTTACTATAATCACGTAAGTATAATCACGTATTACCATCCAAATATCCAAATAATCAACTAAAATTTTTGAAAATTCTTTGCTTGAATTGTATAAAATTCAGATGTCGAATGTATAATAGGAAATTATATAGTATACTAAAATATATTATAATACATATTTCGTTTAAAAATATTAAATTTTGTCTGTTTAGTTGGTTGGATGGTTTATAATTATACTTAAGTCCGAAAGTGATTATTATTTTTATTAGACCAATTTATACCAAATATGTTCGAATTTCACTCAAAATGAAAATATAATAGCAAATAGTGTCCTCAATTTATTTACACACACATTGGCTTGTACATATATTGCAAATTATATAAAAACAACTCATAGTTTATAAATAATTAATAAATTATCACATTATTAAACATCAATTTCTTTAAGATAAATATACATATAGGTCTGTCCGTCCTAAAATAATGTATAACAATAAACAAATACTGTAAAATAGCTGCGACTATTTCTCATATTACCGTCTGTATAACATGGCCCTTATATAGGGAAATTAGCAGTCCTTTGTTTATAAAGTATATCCACTGGTACAGCAAGTTATTAGGAAATAGTATTAACTGCTACTTTCAAATTCGGTTGTTTAGTCTTTAACACGTTATTCACATTATAATGTCATAAGTTATTTAAACCTGAGTCATCGATGATCGTGTGAAAGACTATAGATAAGAGGAATACTGAAAAAGGCATAATCGGGATAAACTCTGTTGGCTAATGTTGCATTTATTTGTTAATGTATTAATATCTTAGAAGATTTTATAAATTTTATTTTAAAATTTTTCACGTTACTTCTTAAAACAAAAAAAAAAAAAACAATGAATTGGTTGATTAAAAATATATTTATTGTGAAACGTCGATGAATTTCGATGCATATGTTCTATGTATTTTGCTTTTACATAAAAGCAAAATAGGTTCTAATACTGCTATAGTGTATGTGTTCTATATGGAAAGAAATGGAAATGTAGCCCAAAAATATACGTCAACTATTGTACACCACTTATTAATTTTGCTTCAGTCGTATTCTTATTCACAACATCCTAGTTTCAACTTTTCGTCCGTTCATCTCTACGTTATAACAACATAGATCAAAGTTTGTTTTTACTTCTAGTTTTAATTAGAATTCTTGAATTAAGTAGTTGATGTAGGTGCTGATTTTTGCTAATAATGTGCATACGATGTAACCGCTGACTTCAACTGCAAGAGCTTCTTTGATGATTTTGCTTATTGCCCTTAATTAACCTTTAATCCTTGTTTTTGCTAATAAAACATATATTAAAATATTATTTCTTTAAATATAATTTATTTTACTTACTTCGGAACAGACATCATATATAATAAAATAATTGCATTGCATATTGCAAACAGCTGTGGTAAGCCAGCAAGTATTAAGTGTTCTGTCTCTAGCCCTTAATTCAAGTTGTGATCCGGAAAACGCAAAATTTTCGGGAGCTCAATTTCATCTGGATCATCTTCATCTTCGGACTCGTCTTCCTCTTCCTAAACAAACAAATCATGTTAATATATTATTTCTTTAATTATTATTTATTTTACTCACCTCGCGACAGACAATATCATAAATAATTACAATAATTGCATTGCATATTGAAAACAGTAGTAGTAAGCCAGCAAGTATTAGGTGTGTATGCACATCAAAGATCAATCTCCTGTAGTCATTATTTATAAAAATTTGCTCTAGAGTATGTTTTATATATTTAGGACTTCTAATATACACCCATAATGAAAATATTGTGATTGTGGATATTAGGGATAGGATTTGTATAAAAACTCGAGCCATTTTTTTATAATAATGCCTTGAATAATTTACGACTGAATTTGTAACTGACCTAAAGAATTTCAAAAAATAATGTTATTCTAAAAATTTTTATTTGTGATGTAAATTTTTTTTAAATTTCTATGCTTACTAAAATGATTTTATGATTTATTAATAATTTAAAGAGCGATTTTTTTTTAAAGTGATATGATCATTGAACAGTATTTTATGAAATCCATAAAAGCCGATGGAGAACTAGTACGAGGCACGATATATAAGCAATGATAAAAGTTTAAAATTCAAAGATTTAGAAGTACTTACATATATAGCAACGAATACAATAAATTAATATATAGACGCCAGGGATGCACATACAAACCGAGGCTAAAATGAGGTGAAAAAATAATTCAAAAATTGTGGTTTGTATATTTTTATTTGTTTGATTTTAAATAAAACAAATCTTTGAACAAATAAAACAAATGTTTTTATTTAAAATTTTTTTTTATTATTGAATGCAATATAAAATATAAGAAATGACCTAAATCTAGGCAAAAAAAAACAAATAAATTAAAATTTTTTTTTTTAATATAATCTTTTTCAAAAATAATATAACCCACTACTGCAGTGGGTCGCTGTTATAAATATTATTATTTTCATAATGGGTATTAAAGTATAAATAGTGCTTACATAAACTTCCCATTCCAACAAAATTCAACGAGATGAGAGTACACATTAATTAAATACCTTTTGATTTTTTGTTGATATTTCCATTTATGGATAAAAAAATAGATGCAATATTTAATTTTAAAAATATCTAGAGTATTGCCTAGCTCCATCTTCATTATTATATTGCTATGTATGCACTTAACCAATAAATGAAGATTTTAAATAATGAAATGTAAATAAAAGTGCGTTCAGTGGTAGCCAACATAAAAATTTTAAATAATTTCTTAAAATATTAATTGCTAAATATTGTAAATATCTTAATATCTTTAATTTCAACAACAATTTGCTTGTATTTCATGCGTTGAATTAATTGAAATATATTTTAATATAACCAATTTTTTGAGTCACGTGACATTAGTAATCTTGATTTTGGTCATTTAGCAGACGTTGACTAAAAATAACAATATCATTAAATATTCGATAATAAAATATGGTAGAAACTTGAATTCCATAAAATTAAAAAGAAATTAAGTTTTTAATTGTGAGTAAATCTCACACATAAAAGAAATTCTTCATAAAACGATATGAACACAAATTGCAAAGTTCAGCTTTTTAATTTACATAAACCTAAATGCGATACAAAAACAAGATTAAATAAAAACAAAGTTTTTAATGAATATCGAATTTTACCTGTTTACACAACACAGGTAATAATAATTTTGATTATAATTAAGATCCTACAAATCACTTCATTATTAAATCCATTTAAAATTACAATCCAACTGCATACAATACAATCCGATAATCAAAATAATGATTAAATTATAATACTATGTCTACATTGTGAGATTAAGAGAACGAGATTGAGTTAATCTACATTTTTAATCTAAACCGTTTACATTATACATTGGAGATAACAATGTAAACGATATAGAAATTGTTTTTTGAAAAATATATATATATTAGAATATCTTGGTATTTAAATTATAAAATATGAGTAGAACTTAATCGTTGAAATAAATATTCATAGGGCCTATTTACACTATCATGAACGTAAGATGAACTTGACGACAACATGAACTGTCAGTTCAGTTACACTACCATGAAATCTCGTGAACGTGAAATTTTTGTTTTATGTAAACGTATAAAATGCTTGTGTATAGTAGTGCAGAGCACAGAAATTGAGAGTATTCAGCATAAAAAGGTAAACATAAACATAACATTGCATATGTATGCGGGTCAAGCCGAAGAAACGCAGCAAATTTCATTGCGTGAAATTCATGAACTCACATCACACTTTCTTCCCTCTCTCATCTATCGGTAACCGATTTTTAAGTTCATGTTCATGATAGAGTAAATAGGCCCATACAAATATATATAATAATAATTAAAATTTGTGCTTTCATAACATATATTCCCGCACGTTTGCAACCTAAAAATGCCATTTTAACTTTTGAATAACGGCGCGAATGTATTATTTTTGAGCGATAAGTGAAGATTTGTGTTCCTTTTCTTTGTATTTATTTAGATTCAATTAAATAAAACAAATTAAATACAATATCCTTTTCTCCTATTACAACAAATATATTTTCGGTAATGAATTTTGAAGAATCTAAGGAGAACATACAGCCTTTAGCCTCAGGACGAAACGCCAGTTTGTTGCAAGCATCGTTGCGCTCAGACATAAAAGAATTGTTCACACAACACCGTTAGATGAAGCACAACATACATAATTATAAAGGAGATGATCCACTTGAGGCATGGCACACATAATAAGTTGGATTGAGCAATACTTTTCGTCCGATGGTAAAAATTTCGATTTGGAAGAAGTTCTATCAAAATATCAGACACATTTTGAAAATGACATTGCGTTGTAATCGCGCACGTCCAGCAATTCCCTGAAGATAATTTCCCATAAAATTCTATTAAAATAATGCGGCTAATGCGTTTTATGCATCCAAATAACATCGGAACGATTTTTTATTTCCATATATTTACCAAAGAGCAATACATGTACCACTCCTGTTAAGCCATACAAATCCAATTGATATGTCCATGGACGTTTATCACGCATTTCCACACAATTGAATCCATTATTATTGTGCACATAACTGAACCTTTGCTCAGAGAATCGATCGAAATACCAAAGTCGATCAGTTGCAAGCAACATTGCTTCACTGGATATGTCAACCTTTTTTTAAAAACAATATAAAAATTAAAAAAATATTTAAAACATAAGAAAGTAATGCTTACTTATTCATTAACAGTACATTATCAGGTTTAATATCTGCGTGGATGATATTAGCGTGTAGGTGATCCATAATTTCCAAAAATTATAATTTTCAGGTATATCAGGTACATCACTACGTATTCGTCCACATTTTTCACAGTCGCCTTTTTAACTTTGTTGCAAAGATTTATCAGTGAACCATAGTCCGAAAATTTGGATACTTATAGACGTGAGTTATTGAGATTAGAGAAAAATCAATCTTCATGTTAAGTGCATAACTAAAAGAAAAAAATTATGTAAAAAAAATATTAAAATTAAATTGTATAATTAAATTACACGTTATGTACTATAATATATTAAGTGTGACCAAAACGTAATGAGAGTTTTTGATTTATTCAAAAAGATTTAATTTATTTTCAGTATTTGTCTCATCTCTTTCCAAGAATACTTGGAAATAATGCTCTATGTGATCAACTCAGTCAAGATCTCAACTGATTATTATACAACTAATTTTTTTTTCTATTAAAAAGAATCAATTTTTGGAAATAATTAAATATATTTCTTACCATATTTTCTGATGTAATGCGACTTTGTAGCTCTAAGCAAATATAATACTCCCAGTAGTTTGGTGGTCGTTTCTGTTTAAGCATATATTTACCAGTTTTAGTGTCAATACCACTATAAAAATAAAAAGTCTTGATAGTGAATAACATAATCATTAGTTGTCTTTTTTATATATAGTTTTGAGATTTGAAAATGATCGTTGAATTTGGTTTTATGCAACATACCATTTTACAAGTTCGCAAGTTTTTTAAAAAAGTTATAAAATCAATATGATTTAGAAAAGCGTTTAGTAATTCTACATTAAATGGATTGACATTCGGATCCACACAAACCATTTCCATCAGCTGATCTTTATGTATATTAAAGGCAGGTTAATGAATTTTGGTATATAATTTGCCACGCTTCTTTTTGTCGTGTGCTTTATTTTTGATACTTTCCTGAGATGCGATGGCGTTCTGTCACACTGTTAATTTCCGTCATTAAAAACTTTTACGGGGGTATTAGAACGTTTTACCACCAAAGAAGAATCAGTCTAATATATGTTATAATATAGAATAATGTAATTAACTTTTTATATAGTAACTTACTTGAATGGTACCAGGTACATAGTTATTACCTGAAGCACCTGTTCTTATACTTCCAACTGTCGCTTTAGGACTATATCCAGGTAGCGAAATCAGTGCCAAACGGCATTCCTCAAGCTGTCGATTGACAATGTTTTTAGCTCATTTATCTTCACCATAAATATATCTTTGCGCCACAGAGAAACCGAAATGTGGCTGTGCTTCTTGCAACTCATCTAGAGGTTGGACTCTACAAGCAACGCATTGTTTAAATATTTCATCAACTTTTGGTGTATTCACCATTAAAAAGCTGTTGGTAAGTTTCAATAGAATTTTTATGGCCGCAAATCTAAAGGCATAAATTAAACATTAGCTACTTTTTCTTTTAAAATTAATAGTGTAATACTAACGAACTTGATTTTTTACCATCGAACGGAAAATATTGCTCAATTCAACTTATATATGTGTGTCATGCCTCAAGTGGATCATCACCTTTATAACTATGTATGTTGTGCTCCATCTAACGGCGTTGTGTGAACAATTCTTCTACCTCTGAGCGCAACGATGCTTGCAACAAACTGGCGTTTCGTCCTGAGGCTAAAGGCTGTATGTTCTCCTTAGATTCTTCAAAATTCATTATCGAAAATATATTTGATGTAATAGGAGAATAAGTTATTGTATTTAAAAACATATTTTATTTAAATAAATCCAATTAAATACAAAGCAAAGAAACACAAATCTTAACTTATCACACAAAAAAAAAAAAAAAGAATCGTTCGCGCCGTTATTCAAAACTTAAAATAGTATTATCAGGGTTGCAAACGTGCGCGAATATATGTTATGAAAACAAAAATTTTAATTATTATATAGTGTATGAATATATATATCAACGATCAAGTTCTAGTCATATTTTATAACTTAAATACCTAGATACGCTAATATATATATTTTTCAAAAAAAATATCGTGCAACATTGACCCATTTCGTAAAATTTTATAGTTAATTTATAAAAATATTATAACATTACAACAGAATACAACAGTCAACAAATCAGAGGTATTTGTAACAGAGTATAACAGAGTTCATTATTAAACTTTATAGTTGTGGTGAGTTTTTAACATGGTAAATGTTTTCACTACAATATATTATTAGTATGGTGTTAGTTAACATACATTTTATATAAATAAATATAAATCATTAAAAAAAAACGCACTACTATATTTTTATATTAGTTTCGTTTTAATGGGTGTTAAACCTAGTTTTCGGAATTTTCAGCGTGCTGATTGCATTTTCTTCGAAATTTAAATGGAATCCACTTATATCGAAACATGCGAAAAATATTTACTTACCTTAATAAATTTTTTATATATAAGTTAAGATATTTATTTACTCTGTTTCGGGAGCATTTTTTTATATTTTTGCATATTAAATTTTTGGAAAATCTTGGAATTTTAATCTCTAAATCAAATAGTGCAATTGTTTGGTGGAATTTTGAATAATTCTCATTTACTAATGCAAAACACCACAATATATTTCAGCTATATTCTATATTTTAATTAATGACCTTAACGGTAAAAATAATAAAAATTAAGATTTTCCGACTTAACAGATGTTTAGCAAAACAAACTGAAAGAGCAAAATTACAACTAGATGTGTTGTGTGAATGAATTGTGAATAGAGAACTAATACCTTCTTCTTTATCAGTTATCTTTAACAATTCACAATAAACATCTTACTTCACTTAACTACTGTCAAACATTTATGTCAGCTGTTAGAATTTTTTATTGACAAGTGTTTTTAATATAGAAGCGTCTTAAGACGAACTTTGCAGTTTTGTTGTATTCGTGTAGTATTTTAATAAAATAAAATTAATACTAGTTTATTTTAATACTAAAATATGTCTTTATTAACACAATATGAGCAGCAATATGCTAGCTTAATTGCGGAGATAACTGGAAATGTCGGTAGACTGAATTTGCAGAGTGGACGTATGTTGCTTATTTTTATCATTTTGTTAGAATAAATAAATTATTGATTTAAAAAAAAATTAGCAGATCGTCGGGAGCTATGTGTAAAAATTGAAACCGAACTCTCAGAAGCACAGGAGTTATTAGAGCAGATGGAATTAGAAATAAGTGATCTTAGCAGTGCGCAACGACCCAGTTTCACAAGTAAACTAAATTGCGCACAAGCCGAACTAAAAAGACTGCAAAATGATTATCGTAATGCAAAAGATAAGCGTGCAGCAAATACAGTCGTAGATTTGGGTGCAGCTAGTGATGCTGACTACTACGATGATGTACCGATAGCAATTGATCAGCGACAACGCTTATTAGATAACTCTGAACGTTTGGAACGTACTGGTAATCGTCTAACAGAAGGTTATCGTATTGCATTAGAAACGGAACAATTAGGTACACAAGTACTAAACGACCTACATCATCAGCGTGAGACAATAAATAGTGCAAGATCCAGAGTGCGTGAAACAAATGCTGACTTGGGACGTGCATCACGTACACTTAACTATATGATGGTGCGTGCTTTGCGTGAAAAAGCGGTGCTTTATTGTGTAGGAGTATTTTTCGTTGCAGCAGTGGTTTTAAGTTTATATCTCACATTCGCACCAAGCTCAACAGAATCTTAATGCATTTTTATTTTATAATCTTTATTATTGTTATTAATGTAAAGTTCGCTGTTATCTGTCTGCCTCGACTTTATAATTGTTATTTAGTTAAATTATTTTATTTTATATTATATTTGTAATCTGTAATGCTGTTTTTTTTTATTTATAAGTTTTAATATTCATTCCAAACCAAAATTGCAATATCGCGTTACAAAAATTACTAAAGAACTAAAGAATGTTGTTTTTATTATATTAGTGTTTTATATGATATTTATAAATAATTGAAATCAAAGGACTTAAGATATTCTAATTAATTATTGTCTATATTGTAGTTATGTAAACTATTTAATTAAATTTTTATGCTAATTGTTGTAATTGTATAATAACTAATGCTTAGAAAAATATTGGCTGGCATACGCATTTAGGACACGTCAAGCTATTTTAAATATAAATAAGCAAACGTTTTAAAAAAATGCAAATTTATATACATTGTATATAAATATTATATAAATATTGTATAATATATATAAATGTTATATAACATACATAAATATTATGCAACATATATACATACATATAATATATTATGTTTATTAATACTATAAATGTTTAACATACATATGTGTATACATACAATATATATAAAAAATATTTGTAATATAAATATAGAATATACATATAATATATGTAAAAAATATTTATAAGCATATAATACATATATATGTATACATATTATATATATAAAAATATTTATATAATGTATATATACATATATATGCATATACATAAATACATATAACATATATGATGAATGTTAAAATATATATCTATATCAGATTAAAAACTATAAGGATATAAATATAAATATATATTAAATTATCAAGTCTGTTAGCAAAATTATTTTGAAAAATTTATCTTTTAATGTAAAGCCATATGAGATTCAACACAAACATATAAAGCTGCATTGTTATATTAAAAAAACACATTTACACATCCTATAATGATGGCTATATCTAAACGTATATAAATTATTATATATTTATAAATATACTTAGGAATTATACATATATATATATATTTCCTGATCAATAATTTATATATTTGATGTATTAATTTTTTCATACTCAGCAGGTATAGAATATATTTTAATTAAATTAGTTTTTAAATATTTATATTAGTTCAAATCTTTAATACTAAAACGAAGGCTTAAGAACCCATGTGGGCTATAGGAAAATATTTTTGAAGAAACTAATATTTGTCAAACTTTAAGACGCCTCCAGATTACAATATTAAGTAGTTCTTGTATTAGTTTGAAGCGTTGATATGCTAAATGCTGCCTATTATTCTATTTATTGTGCCCCACTTCTGACACTATGTGATAGCTTCGACGATGTGTAAGTGTAAGACTTTTTATCATCAAGTGCCGTTCAACATTCTCAAATAGGATTACACTTACAGTTCACTGCGGGTTACAATAGCAACAACGTCAGGTAGGTTCGGTAGGCAATGCAATACCGCTCATTTATTTCTGTGACAACTATAATATTACATAGAGGTCTATCCTTATCTTATCAATAGATCTGTATTAAAATCATGACTAAAAACAAATTACTTGAGGCAATGTGTTAGATGAGTGTAAATGCTAAACAATATATTACAGCTCTGAAGGTACTAGTGAAATGTCTAAGAACTAGAAAGTCAGTTTTAGTATAAGGAACTCATACTGATTGTAAAAAGTAGTTTAAACCAAATAAATTGAAATATGTTAGATGTGCTTTATAAAACTCTATCCAAATTTAAAACATTCTTATAATATTTATTTTCGAATTTTCATTGAAGTTGTTTTCATTGAAATTTAAACAAAGATTATAATGTTAAATAAACATATTTATATTTTTTTATAATTATTCAAATAATTATAACCAAATTTTATGTTCTTACTCGGAACGGTCCTTTATAGTCTCTATTTTTGTTCAAGTTCTCAAATTCAAGTTTGTGATAATTTTCTTTTGAACACTCGCTGCTTGGCTTGTCGAAATGCATTGTGGCCATAACGTTGATAATGTGCAAAAAATTGATCGAAATGAGTACCAACCAGATAATGTCGCGGAAATGAAACTTAAAGAGAAAATGTTAAAAAGTATGGAGCCACTAAGAAAACAGTCCTCACTATGTGTGGAGCAAGTTGGCTTTAGGGTTTTACCGGTCTATAATTTTGAAAATCCATTATATGATAAGTCTCTATCATTAGAGGATAATCCATACTTACTTAAGAGTTGGGAACAGTTTCTGGAGGAGAGACCAAAGGATTTTGTAAGAATACGCCTTTATACAGTTGATAAGAAAATGAAGGAAGATGCGTAAATATCAGAATTTTGAATTTTTATTTTAACTTTATGTATTAGTGTTCATTTTAATTTTTAGTATACCAAAATCTTACCGTTATGGGCTAAGTGGAAAGTTCTATGATTATGAAAATAAATTGGCTCCGTCTCCGATGATACCAGGCCGAACTGCAAGCTTAAGAACTTTTCGTAAATTAAACTTAAAAACTCGGCGATTATAATATATATCATTATAAAATTAAATTTTTTATAATTTTATTGTATATTTTATTTATTTTCTAATAAGTCCTTTTATTTTAAAATAAATAAAATATACATTAAAAAAATTAAAGGGAAATTTTGTTTTCATCACAGTGAAAATAATGATCTCAATGGCGGATATCGCAATATTCCATTCCATTATAGTTTGTGATGTGGCTTTTTATTTTATTGAAAGTTTTGAATATTTTCAAGGTATCTATAGAATGAAGAGACTGTCTTTTAACGGAACCTGCATATTACTTTGCTTTTTGATAATGTATGTAGTAATAAGTACTTATGAATAGTGGGTGTAAAACACAACTTATGAATAAATTTGTGTAAAATAATGCCAGTATAAACCGGTATAAATAAAGCTTATATATATATATATATATAAATGACAATTGGTGACTACAGAGAACCCTATATATATGTGAATACTTTCGTAATGGACTTATAATTCATATAATGGACTTATGTGATGATTAAGTAACTCCTTTATATTTAAAAATATTACACAAAGATTGAATTTTAATTTTAACAGAAAGTGATCTATAACCGGATAAAAAATACAGTCAAACTTCCATAACTTGAACTTCTATTACTCACATTTTCCATAACTCGAACTAAATAGAGTGCAACAAGGTTTAGGGAGCAAATTACATACAATTACAAAAAAATTCTTTAACTCGAATTCTCCATAGGTCGAATTTTTTCTGTGTATATAGTATATAATGAAGCGTTTTGCTGAATTCGATAACTCTGTTATAAGGTAATCCGACAGAACATATAAATAGTCTTCAATTTGTCAATCAAGACTATAACGAATTAGGTACGATTTGAGATAATACCTATGACAAACATACGAAAAAAGTTCTTAATATTGAAGATAAAGCAAATAATATATATTTTTTTTTTACAATTTATTGTTTAATACATAAAATTATTATTAAATAATTACGAATAAAAACATTTAAAAATATAATACAATTTTTATTGATATTATATATATTTTTATATACAACATATATATTATAATCATATTATAATTATATTTAATTATGAACGTTTATGTATAACAACGGAAGCTGAGTTATGAATTAAAAAAGGCGCATTTGATAGTATAATGGATTTGTTTTTTTTTTTTTTGTTTTTTGTTTTTTGTATAATTTCATTGAACTCTTTGAGTTTTAAGTATTTTATAACATACATATACATAGACATATATTGCATAAATATTATATGTATATAATATATAGGAATTAATTTATTATATTGATGAATTTATAAAAGGAATGAATCCTATATGAGTATAAAAACATAACTTAAAGCATGTATTTCGCAGATTTGTTCCATTATATGTTTATAACTAAATACATATTTTTAAATATATTTTGAAAATACTTATATATTACTGTTATTAAAAAAGTTTTAAAATGCAATGCTTTAAAGCTAACGTGGCACTTAATGAATGAATTAAGTTTTTTTTTATAATTTATAAATAGAAATACATTAAATTTACGTTAAAATTAATCACTTAAGATGAGGTTGCTTCATTCACTTAATTGTAATAGTTATGGTTATTGACTTTTTTCTCGGGTCAGTTATGTTTGGATCCATATAGAACTTATACATAGGAGCAATTACTTTGGATAGATTTTATCCAAATTAAATATAAAAATATTTATATACCTTGTGATCAAAAAATAAATTTAATTTTTAATTTTTGAATTCCCGCGCTTATCCAATCGGTATAATTTTTTTATTTTCACGCTGGCAACACTATTATACACATTCTGTCAAAGTTTAACGCATATCGTACGATTAGTTTTTGTTTGGCGTCTATATAAAAAGTTAAAAAAATTTCGTTCTCTCGTTCTTTTTTGATCAGAAGGTATAAAAATATTTATATATAAAAATATTTATATATAAAAATATTTATATATAAAAATATTTACATATAAGAATATTTATATATAAAAATATTTATATATAAAAATATATATAAATTATTAACACAAATAATACGAATACATTTTTAAAAATTAATAATAAATAATTTGTAATAAAACATATTTTTTTTTATAATGAAACGACGGCATCATTAAAGTATTAAGGAAGTATATTATAACAAGAATTTACCCCAAGAGAAAAATGATAGTGATAAAGTAATGAAAAAATATATGATCCATATCAATAACTTCTTATGTCCTATAAGTATAATACCAATATTGCGTATAAAGACAATAGTTATACTTTTGTATTATATGGTTTTTGATTTCTATTATATAAATAATCCTTTACTTTTTGACTAACGATATATTTAATGCATTATTCCTATATTTAAAGTGGATCTATGGCTATTAAGAACATATAAATATTTATATAAAAATAAATTACAGTATAATTCTATCAACGATCCAATACGATTACAATTAAGTATAATTTTGAATTTAATTTATAGTTTAAGCTTAGTTCAATTGGCTAATTAAATTTAAATTTTTTAGGTTTACATATATTAAAATATTACACCTAAATAAAGTTTATTAAAATATAATATTTTATTTTCTTTATAAGATTCTAAAAAAAATTAATATTAATATATTTTATATTAATGTTTTATAGAGACTTTCAGGTCAATTAAAATACTTATTAACATAAGTAAAACTATTGAAAACGAACCGTTAAAATACACAAATTATTTTACATATAAACGTGTTATATATAAACGTATTCTTGTTCTTATTTCAAAAGAAAAATGATTATATATAGAACACTTAAAAAGTCATTCTGTTTTCGATTCCTGTATAAAGAAGGTATATGGATAAATAAACTAATATTATTAATAATATTAATATTGATATAATTATAGATTATTATGAATATAATTATTAATAAGTAGGGAAAATCACATCAACGAAAGTTAGTGAACAAAATAAATTTGAATAAGAGTATGTTCCCACAGGAAGGGGTCAGGAGATATAAGTTAATTATATTAATTACTCACAATAATCTGTATTTTTGGCTATGGATATAGATATATAGATTTTTGAAAGTGTAAATATTCGGTATCGGTTAAAAAACGGTAAGTGCAACGGTAAAAAGCAAAGAAAAACAAAAAAAAAATTTTCCAATGTTCATGGGTGCAGTCAGGAAAGATGGCAAGTAAAATATTACTTAGACCACAGTTTTAGAGTGTTACTGAGTGATAGAGTGTTAATAAAAATGGTAGTAAGAAATATAAACTACGGAGAAAATAGAAATGATAAAGAGAATAAATAAATTAGATGTACCTTCTGCTCAAAAAGTACTCGGATTTTGTATATAAAACACAAATTTAAAATTTATTCCAAATTTATTTTATCTCCTTTAAAATATGCTTCTTCTGAAGCGATACACATATGCCAATGCTTAACCCAATCTTCCATACACGTTCCTTAGGCCAGTGAAGGTTTGGCTTTTAGTTCCTTCAACGAATTCTTTTGTACCGATTCAATCGACTCAAAACGATTACCACGAAAGGGCAATTTGAGTTTCGGGAACAGGAAAAAGTCGCACGGATCCAGATATGGCGAATATGGTGCCTGAGCGATGACAGTGGTGCCGTGTTTGGTCAAAAAATCGCGTACAACAAGAATTTTCCATAGTAAAAATCGGTAAATGCACTTGAGGTAGTCTCACATTTTTGAAAAAGGTCTATTACTTAAGGAGTAGCTAACAAACAACAAAGTCCGGATACTTTTTGAGCAGAAGGTATATAGTATAGAGTAAGTAAGGTCTAGAAGATTTAATTTACTTGGTATGCGTAAACTTGACTATTTCAACCGTGGCCTTAGTTACAAAGAAAAAAAATTAAATTTGAAAGAGTATGTTCTTATATCTCGGACCAGTGGAGATAACGTCTCATAGCGATTCGTCTTAGTCAAGTCGAGGCCACTTAAATACATAATGATGGCGTGTTGTAGTTATCATTACTATGGAGAACTATATTATTACTATTGTTAATGTGTCACAATAGGGCTTAATGAGCTACTCTAAGCCCAGAAGGGGCACAATAGACCCGACGGTCGCAGTGACACATCCCCTAACAATAATAATAATAATTGTTAATGTGTTATATCTTCTCATTTTTGACTCTATTCTCATTATTGACTCTACAGTAATTGTCAAAACAATAGAAGCTGTTTAGTATAATGCTAAACTGTTAAGATTTTAAAAATAATATAAATATAGAGATCAAATACGAATACACTTAAAACAGGAGTGCAAAGAAAGAATGACTTTTAAAATAAACTCGTAGATTCAATAGTTACATCTCAAAAAAATAATAATAAAAACACATACATAGTATAATTATCTAAATTAATTTACGTTAAATTAAACTATATATTTAATTTAATTTAAGAGTAGTTTTAGCTCCGAAAAAAATGTTCTAAGAAAATAAAACGATAAATAAAATAAAATAATAATTTGAAAAAATAATGATTCTTCATAAATATACTAGCATTATAATATCTATAGCTATTTAAATGATTATAAGTCTATTTAAAAGTAAATATAACAGAAGTTTTGATAATCTACGACTTTTAACTAAAGTAATGCTTTGCTTAGATTAAAACACATATATGATAATTTAATATAGACACTTTTACAACTTAGATATTTGTATTTGTTATATACATTTCCGAGATTGGCCAATTTTCATAAACTAAGTCTTAAACTAACCTCATACATAAAACTATCTCAAGTGATACTACTAAAATTTCCCCGTTTTGTTTAATTTAAAGTCCCACCCAATTTCTTATTTACAAATCTACTTCTTGTTGCCATCGTTGCCAGTCTTCAGTACCTGATAGCTTGGGTTTGAGAAAGCATCTGGCGTTCGCGCTCCATTATTATATAATGCTGCTTTTGGTGATTTAACATTTACGTAATTATCATCACCATTTAATTGTGTCTCGACGATGTTATGTCGGGGCGATGGTGTGGGTACATTTGAAAATTTACGTAATTGTTCTGGACTATGTTCGCCATCTGAGTTATGATTTGCGTTTTGTAGCATAGGTATTTCTTCTGGTGTAACACCTTCTTTCTTGCGATTCTTATTAATTGGATTATCCATATTATTGGCTAATGTTGGAGAATGCTGTTGTACTGCTGCATCTGGGAATGTGAAAGAAGTAGTTGATATCGTATTATTTGGATCATTTTCATTGCCACTATTTTCATAATCTTTCGGACGTGTTGGTGAGAAGATGGCTGTGCCGGAATTGGTGCTCATTTGTAAATAATCATCAGATGAGTCAATACCTAAATGCGTGAGTTAGCGAGTGAGCAGTTAGAAAAGAGAGATGTAGTTAATATAGTGCAACTATGAGAAAATGTGTTCAAATTGCATTTGTTAGTTAATTACTTACGTATTTCAGGTAATATATGTCCATTAACATATCTTGGTGGCGGTGGTGCCATCTCGTCGGGAGAGCCCATAAGAGCCAAGTAGTCTGTTGGATTACGTTTCATATATTCTGTATTAAAACGTAAGTATTCCTCATTGAGATCAACGTAATGCTAAACAGTAGTAAAGAACAGTAGTAGATATTGTGTAAAGTATTTTAAAATGTGCAATGAGTGTATATAAATATAAATACATTAATATACTGGATAATACAAATTATTTCCTTACAAATCATGTGCTACCGAACTATGTAATGTTGCTGCATACCAGGTTATTCTAACCCAATCATATTTGGTAAATACCATTAGGAACCCAACCTAAGTAAAACAGAGTTGATAAAGCAGTTCAAAGTTCACCCATTACTATACAGCAAAAACCTTTAAATAATGAGTTCATTCTGGATCGGGACACAACATATTGGGTTTATAAAGTGGCTAATATCTTTAACGCTTGCATTGAGAATATCGAAGGAAAAAAACTACCGCACAGTTAGTTTTTTTTCTTGCAAATACTGGATAGTGACAGAGTAGATGGCCCTATGTATACAATATTAGTCATTCCATGGTTAGTCTATTCGACCGATATATCTGTTTGTAAGTATTAAACTTTTTGTATAATAGCAATTTTAATAAATACCAATAAATAAACTAGAATAATCTGTTATTAAAACATAGAACATAGAATATTTACTGATCAGACCATTCTGTTATGATTATAGCGGAAACATGTTATACGTGTAGTTTATCATGGGTGCCAGATGTATAACCCTTGTTGAAGACGTTTAGTAGTTGGGAGAAGAAGGTAAGAGTATAGATCATCTTTTTGTTATGTGTGTATAACTTAAACGGCAGCTAAAGCTTATTTTTAATTTTGTTGATTACGAAAAAACTGACAAAAAATATTTCCTAGTATATTAAATCCCTTGCCACTATTCTGGCAACGTTACTAAAGACGACTGATGTTAAAATGTGTCATATGCAATTACAGTCACTTCACAGCAATCATTACATGTCCTTAATTCTGAGTCTTATATCATGTTTCCACTGAAACTAAAACTATTTATGTTAATGAAATTAGGATTTGGTCATTTCCATTGGTATAAGCTAATTTATGCAAGTGAAATTGCTTGTCTGGTTACATTTCACAGAATAAACATATAACAGATGTTACCAGTTCTGGTAAATTGCCTTATGGAAATATTATGTTTAAGGGTTACATTCGACATTTTTCGCCTTTAATCAGTTGATGTATTTATAATAAGCTTATTGCGTGGTAAATTATCCTCATTAGTGGCTTTAATGAAGTAAAACTGTCTAAATGAGACAGTGGAAACATGGTGATATACATAACAAAGGTCATAGTTGTTAAAGGGATTCTATATACATAATATATATGCAATAACAGGCAATTAAAGTATCATAATAATAATAAAACAAAATTCTAAAAATACGTCAAATCAAATTAATATTTAAGTAGCATATATCATTGACTTATGTAAACAAAGATTTATAAAATATTATTATAATTATTAAATTATCTAAAAATATAATTAAAATAATAATATTATTTTGACTTACATTTGTCACTTCATCACCAAGCATACGTCCGAAACGTTTTTCTAGTACATTAAATAGTGGTCGCGATTCCGGATTTGTGCTCCAGCACTCAAGCATAATTTCATAAATCGCATCATTTGCAAATGGTGGCTTTTCCATACGATACCCATCTCTTAGCTTTACATATAACGATTGATTTGGATGCATACCAGGATATGGAACCTTTGCCAATGAAAATAATTCCCACAACACGATACCATATGACCAAACATCTGTATATTTATTAAAAATGTGATCAGTAAGTGACTCAAGTGCCAGCCATTTTAATGGTAATGGTGCCTCGCCCTGTTTTTTATAATTATCATTTCTATACATTGAACGAGCTAAACCAAAATCGCAAATCTTAACGACATTATCGTCACTGAGTAGTATATTTCGTGCAGCCAAATCTCCATGTAGAACTTTTTTCGAGCACAAGTAATCCATACCTCGTGCGATCTGGAAAGCCCATGAACATAAATCAGATGTTGTGAATGTCATAGATTCCGTTGAATCGGGTTTATAATTCGAACGCCAACCAGGTTGAACAGAATTATTTGATAATACATTTTCATCATCTGTGTTAGGATAAGAAAATGTTAGAAATGTTAGTTATTGTAAATATATATACACGAGTGTATAAAATTAGGTTATGTTAAAAAAATTAAATAATAATAAAAAAATTTCATGAGTTGAAAATTAGAACTATTCAGAAATATTTTTTAAGGTAGGGGTATATACAAATATTCAATTATATCCTTTATATTGCATATACTGTATTTAATATGGTATATTCAATATTCCTTCTTTTTCTTCTTTGCTTGATCAGATAAAACATATTCTCTCTCTGCTTTAGCTTAAATATAACCATTCTATTGTTTTAACTATAGTACAATAGATTCTATAATCTATTGTTTTTCTAAAAGTTTTATCTTCTTTTCACATTCTCAGCTAGTTTTAAGAAACATTGATGAATGGCACAGGGCACTTAGTAGGCAAATATCTCTGCGTTATAGACTTGTTTCATTTTGAAATCGATAAATTTTGGTAATCATCCTTTTCCACTTTGTGGATTTTTCTGAGTAATAAAGTATGGAGTATGTGGTTTGTATTTTTCGTAATATCTAGCAACTCAACCAAAGATGTGTTTCTCTTTTGATTTGCGTCTCAATATATTGCAAGCTATTTCTCTAACAGAGCTTCTCATTTACATTTTGACTCGATATGTAAATAAGCAAGTATTGATTTATAGAGCATTGTATATATACGTTTTAATTTTATATCAAGTTCTCAATACGGAGTTTCTTATATAGTAATAAACACCTTTGGTCGTTTATATGCACAAAACGTCTTATATGAAACATGTTGCAGATATTTCAGAAGACTGTGATTAGCAGAGAATCGATAAAAAAAAATCAGCTAAATAACGTTGAAACGTCTTCAAATACTCGTTAAAAGTCTTTGAAGGGTCATGTTTCTCATTATATTTTTCAAGTGAGAAAATATGATATTAATTTTGAATATATCGTTTGATATATTCGTGGTATAAGCAAGGTAGAGGACTTTCAGTCACCCGATTAGTCAAAATCATGTCGTTGTTGTTGTTGTAGTAACCCGCTGCGATCTAAAAGCAGATAACGTAAGAGGATTTACAAAATGAATATATGGGTTAGGATGTGGATAGGTTATGGTTGTAAAGGCTTCAAAGAATCCAAAGAGATTTTACAAGTCACATCGTATAATTTATCGACAATTATGGCAGCTTGAATTCAATTGTCCAGATGAGTTTCATTATATATGATTCTATTATAAGGACGAGTTCCATTATAATGAATGCGTGGCCCTTAAACTTATTCATTCAATTATGTCTGCACTACATACAATAATCGTTAATGTTGGTACAGATGTGTTATGTACATTATTTAATTTAGATAACATTTTTATATTTTGTTAACCCATTACTGAGAGCATGTTCTCTTACTTTCAACATGGGCTTTCGCGAAAAGGAAGTCTACATTCTTACTGACAATCAGGCAGCCATTAAAGCTATATCAGCAGTCTGCATTTCATCTAGATTAGTATAAGAATGTAGGCAATTTATTAACGCACTACGCGAAAGATTCAAGGAAAGTCTAGTTTGAGTGGGCTCATACTTCCTCTGCAGCCAAGTCAAGGGCTAAATGGCTAATTTATTCCAAATGTAGAACCTCTGATTTTATACATAGAAGTAAATAAGAGGTATCTAGGTTAATATTTGTGCGCAGGACCATAACACGGCATGTGGCTAAGCTCAGTCTACCCTATTGTATCTCCTATAACGCTTGTCTACCGCCACTCCACCTGTTGGGATACCAGAACACCTGTTGCGTCTATGTCCAGAACGGGGGCCCCCTTCTTTAACATATTCAGCCATACTTTCAGCATCAGCATTGGCTACACTTACGCCTTTATTAATACTTCTGGCTGATTGTAATTTAACCCTTCACCTATCCATTATTACGAGGAATTATGGAATTAAAAAGGTTTTCTTAGCTAATTGAGAAGGATTTGTTCCTGACTTTACTCCACCTAACCTAACTAAGTCTTTAATTTGTGGACCTACGATTATGAAACTTACATTTTCAATTCTGTAAAAAACTTAGTCATTATATATTCTAATCGTCTATGGAAATAAACCGATGTGATAAATTCTATATAAACTGACTTTAAATATGACAAAAACTATTGTAACATTTTGCTGCCAGCTTTCAGCGTCGGGGGACCTCTGAGGGATTTCCGAAGAAGTTATTGACTTACCCTTGTAGTGATAATTTAAATATGACACAAAAAAAAAAAAAAATAGTTCATAATTATAATATTACCTACAAAAATTTGATTTTTATAGTAAGGCTCTCCAGATATTACTGAAATGTTTACTTTAGTTTTTTTCAGATCGGAAAAGGAATAAAAACATATTTTTGATTTTATTATCTTTTTGTTAGAACTTATCTTCATAACAATAAATAATTAAACTACATATACTATATTTACTTAGTATATTATTAACTATCATTGCAAAATATTGACTTACCTGGTATTGTTGTCATTACAGTTTGTTCTGTTGCACAACTGTCGACATGTCCCTCATATAAATCTGAGCGCCTCATATAACCACTTGAATTTGGACGTCCAGCGCGTGTACCAGAACGCGGATCATTATCGGTATTTCTGTGATTATTCATAGCGTAATTGTTGTTCATATGATTAATGTATTGATGATTGGAAAAATTAAGGTTAACATATTTTACGCCACCACTGATGCGGTTAGAATTTACAGTGCAGAGTTCAGGATTGTGTTTTTTTTTTTGTTTTAGAGTTACCACAACCATAGTTATAACATCACAAAGCAAGACAAAATATTAGCATGACAACAAATACGTTCCGAGGCACCAAATTACATTTCGATTGAATTTTTTTATTTTAGTTTTAGAGTTATGCAGTTAAATTTGTTGTTTTTTTTTTTTTTTAATTTAAAGTTAAATTTATTTGTAGCAGTTAAACAATAAAGAAAAGAAAGAGATAAAGATAGAAACAAGACACCATTAAACATAAAATCCAATTGCATTTATTAAATTATTAGTAAATAAAATATAGTTTATTAAGTAAATGTTTGCAGTATGTTAATTTATTTCAATTTTTTACTTAATTAATTATTTAAATAAATTCATTTCAAAATATACTTCTCCACTGCTGACAGAGAAAGCTTACCTAATGGAAAATTTCATTAACCATACAAAGAGCTTTTAACTTATAGTAAATTTACACTGTCTCATTTAGGCAGTTTTGCACATTATGCCCACTAATGAGGATGATTGACCATTATTATTATTAAAAGAGTAGACGTGAAAATTGCCCAACAGCTGATACTGCGGCCAGAAGAGACCTATTGTACCAGTTTCACTATTGATTAAACAAAGCCCCTTAAAGCTTTGTGAATAAAGTCTAGAAGTAAAACTAGAGAAGAGTTCTTAATCTGTTCTGGTGATGATTGACCATATACAGTACTTTCATATAAATGAGCTCATTATCAATAAATCAGCTCATTTACATGTTCATTTACATTTACATATGCTTCATATGTAAAATATGAATAAACAACAGCTGAGCTATAAACGAAGGTACTGAGGAAGTAAGTATTTAATAAACTGTTGTTTTTATTATTTAAGTTATTGATATATTAAATGTATATTAATGATTTAATATATCAAATTTGTATTTAATTTTTTTTTGTGATGTGTTACGAATAAGTTAAGTTTATTTAAACAAAGCTCCCTAAGAACTTTCCGACACATATATTGCTCTTTTACATGCAATATAATTTATGTAAATAAAAACGAGAAAATTACTTAAGTAATTTAAAGTTACTTAAATGACTTACTAAGTAAGCAGTGGAAACATGGTATAAGTTTCAAATAAAAATGGTAACATTTATTTAACAAACTTTTAATATTATATGTAGGTTTATAGTATATTAAATACATATTTGTTAGTAAAAAAATTTACTATCGACATTTTTTATTTGCTATTAATTAAAGTTACAAGTTTTTCAAGTTTTATTTTTATAATATATACAGTATCTCAAGTTACGCAGTTAGTATGTATTTTGCTTATATGTACAACTTAAGGTAATTGCAGTCTCAAAAAATTATTTACAAATAATTAAATATGAGAAATAATTCCACGCCCATTGACAATGGCTATTGGGCAATCTTTAAAACAACTGTATGGTCAGTCAAAAAATTTATTTTAAAATAATAAAAAATTTTGTTGTCGCAATTTACTGTTGTTCGATTAAAACCTTTCTATTGCAAAAAAATAGTTCATATTTAGAATTAAGTTTGTTTCGTTAAAACGGACTTTAAAAATTATTTTAATATACATATTATATACTTATAATATATTATAATATTATATATGTATAATATTTTATATGTAGATATATTGGTAGTATAGCAGTTAGCACAGCAGTTCACAATCTCATTGTGTAGATTTATTGGACATACAGTGTTAACGCGATTAACAGTCGGAATACAACCAGCTAACGTGTAAATATATTTTTTCTATTATTCCAAGCATATTCTATGTATTATATCTGATTAGACAACCTTAAAATTTCTATTTTACATTTAATTTATATAGTTAATACTAGTATGAGGTAGGTAGGTAGATTATACTGGCGATCTCAAGGGATCCACATAGGCCTATAGGCCGATTGTGTTAGCGTTTATAGAAAAACTCAGCGGTTTAGAACCACTTTGAACCTTTTCAAAACAAATAATGCTGTTCAAGGGGAGGAAACCTGTTAGGTTAAATTCTTCACTACAAATTCATTCTATTATTTATACTATGAAATTGTGCAGTTTAATACTGTTGATTTCGTTAGAAACGACAAGATTATTGTTCCAAATATGTATGCAATTAATGGAAGTAACAAGAAATTGATGAGATCTGAAAGGATATTTTAATTAGCCAGGATTATGCTGTAACAAACTTGTCATGTTAATAAGACGGGGTTATGAGTCAATTGGCTTCAAGTATATGTGTGCTTGAAAAAATAGATAAAGTGATTTAATAGTTATCAGGGCTTGTAATGCGAAGAAATCTGTGAATATAAACTATTTAATATTTAATGCTTTGGGTTAATATTTAAAATATTCATCTTAGTGTGTACATATATGCAAAATACATATCTTATTTTTAGTAGAAATATGTTTTTATATACATTGTCACTCTAGTCTCGTGTTAGCACAAAAAAAAAATTCAAATTAAAGAATTTTATTTTACAAAACTAAACGTTAGATATATTTATATATTTAAATAAATATACTACTGTAAATATTTAAATTATATTAAACTATATACAAAATTAATATAAAGGAAGTGAACCGTAATACATACTGTGCATAGTCTAAATTGTCGGAAAATCGTTGAGTAATTGTTGGATCAATTTTTTGTGTCAGCGGATTAATTTGATTTATAAAACTCTTCCTATTTCTCAAAAGCAGATTCTGTAGATTGCCAAAGCGACAATATTCAACAATAACCATGAGTTCACCTATTTCACATATAGTTCACATATTTAATTTAAAATTGAATGATGCATTTGCAGTGACTTACGTTTGGCAATATTTTTGGTACAGGCGCCCAATAAATTAACAACATTCAAATGTTGACCTAAATGTACCATAATTTTTAACTCGGACACTAAAGCTTTTACGACTTCATTATCAGCTGTACGCTTAACCATTTTTACAGCAACAACAGTCTCCTTTTCATCCGGTTTTATGCCTTCTGCATGTGCTTTTAGTACAACACCGAAAGCCCCTGCTCCAAGCTGTTTACCCAGCTTTAGTTTGTCACGTGGGAATTCGAATCCCCGATCATATGGCAATAGATCGGCTTGTTCATCAAGTGATAAAGCAGGATTAATTTGTGCTACGGCACCTTCTTCGAAGTTGGCTAAACCAGCAGCTTTAAGTTCACGCAAAAGTTTGCGCTCACGAAGAATCCTGATGCCAAGATAAATGCAAACTGCTATTAACATTATCACAAGGAGTGAAATGAGAGCTATCCAGCCTGTTTGGAGTACAGGCAAATCTGTGATTTCCACCATAACACTTGCTTCGACTTGACCCACACGATTTGATACAACACATGTGTAAAGACCCTTGTCGTCGGGCTTCAGTATCGGTATGCTGTAGGTATTGGTACTATTGGTGCCATTCTCACTGTTAAGCATTATACCGTCTTTGTACCAATAGACACTGGCAAGCGGTAATGCTTCGGACTCGCAAATCAGTTCCAACGATTGATACAGTTTCTTTGATAATTTTGTATCGGGTATCATATTTGTATATATAAGTTTAGGTGCGTTAGGTTCTGTAAAATTCAAATAATTGTATATTTATAATATGTAGTATAGCTTGTTTGTATATATTTTGTTACACACACACACCATGCACAAAAATGTTGATTGTTCTGCTTTCGATAGCGGGACTGTTAGAGTAAGCAGCGCGACATTCATAAGTACCACTATGTTTGTCTTGAGTTTTAAAATGAAGCACTTTTTTATACGAATATTCTGTAGCCGATGTTTCAACTTCGATATCTGAAAAAGTTTTACATAAAAATTATATACAGATACATAAAAATAATAATTAAGAAGAAAATCAGACCCAATATCATTTGACGCATAATGTATGGTTCAATAATCTCAATATTAATAAATAGATCAAAAGTGAAAACTTTTAAAAATCGAGATATAAATTTAATTATATTTTATCGTATCTTATCTCTAATCATCTAAGGGTTTCATCAAGTGTTCTAGTGATTTGGAAGTAAATCTGTCTTCATAAAATAAATAAATGATATTTTCTTAATAAAAAAACATATGTAGAACGAAAGCATTTTGTGTGGGCAGACATGAAATATAAGAAATGTTAAGAGAGATAAAGAGCCATGAAGTAAAATACTTGATAATTTCTTTCTAACCATTTTTTAAAGGAACTAAGATTCAAATAAAAAATCATATATGTAAATAGTATGATCTGTTGGTAATTATAAAGATAAAATTTTAACGTATCCAAAAATTAACAATGAGAGATATAAACACATATATACATATATATATCGCAAAGTAATTTGCTATTTGGGAAACCTAAAAGAGAAAAGCTCTCATTTGGGTTGCTCAAAGAGTGGTGATGAGGTCTATGCTTAGGAATGCGATGTAAGACGATGTACTCAAGATCAATTTTCCAGATAACTTAACAATAGTCAAATATGGAAATAAAATTCCAGCAATTGCAGTCGATCAGTATATGCATACTGACGCAATATAAAAAATAAACTAATGGTTGCAAACCATTGATGTTGCTGCTGTAGCTCGCAGAGATCTATAGAACAAATATGCATGAATTAGAATGTGGCTAAGTAATGGTAGTATGAGAGAGGTGGAGATTGTTTACGGAGCCATCCGTCAAAATAGGCTATAACAACTAACTGTTAAAGGTTCCAAGAACAATCGGGTCTACGTCCCGGAGCCAATCGTCACCTACGACGACCAAGTACCGTCCAACACCTCCCAAAGGGACTCCACAAGCAGGTCCCGGCGGGTTACAAAACAACAACATAAACAACTGTTAAAATAGGGTTGGAACTGTTAAACGTTCCAAGAACGGTCGGGTCTACGTCCCGGAGCCACTCGTCACCTACGACGACCAAGTACCGTTCAACACCTCCCCAAAGGGATTCCACAAGCAGGTTGGTTTCTATTGAAAAAAAATTATAAGCTTCGAAAACACAAAGAGTATGAGGTAGATATGAGGCCGATAGAATGAATCAATAGAACCGATTATATTTAATTCTTACCACTATCATTGCTTGTTGTTATTAGTTCACCGTCCTTATACCAACTTATATCTTTGAAGTAATAAGCTAAAGATGCACAGGTTAATGTTATATCATCATCACGGGCAATTTTAGTGTCCTCATCAATGCCATAAATTGTTATATTCTCATTAATATCACCTATCAAAACATGTGCACTCGCAGCATTAACAATCGAGTTATTGGCTTCGCAATGTATGATGCCAGGTTGTGTAGGTATGAAGTGTACATCATAAAAATATTCAATTGTTGCATTACCGAAGCGTGCTGGTTCCGACTGTTAAAAGAAAAATGTTATCCTTAGTTATGTTATCTGAAAATTCTCTTAAAAAATATATGCTTACTTTCAATTTTTGATTGTAACGCCTGTCACAGGATGGCCAACGTGGTGTTATTTTACAAGGTGTAAATGTCCATGAAACATTAGCAGCTGGGAATGAGGTGACTTTACACGTCAAGCTTGCTAATTCACCGGCTCTAACATATATATCATCTACATTGACGATAGGTGAATCCTTGATGTTAACTCTAAATTGTAATTGCTTAGTGATGACGCCGTTGGACGCGTTCAATGTGTAAATTCCGCTATCGAGTAACTCTGTTTTCATGATCTTAAGTGTGATTGACGAGTCTGTTGTTGTTATTTCATATTTGTGGGTATTGCTAATTTCAGTGCCATCGGGTTTAGCCCACCTTAAACTTGGCCAAGGATAACCACGATATTTGACATTCATTTGTATTGTTTGGTTAGCGCTGCTTGTTATTGTGTAGTAATTATTCGGTTCGCTTATGTTAATATAGCTTTCGCCTTTTTCTAAATAAGATAAGGAAAAATTAAAAAAAAAAACAATCAATATATATATAATATATTATATTAAGTAAAATGTTGATAGAAAGTTAACTTTGTCTTGAAAGAAACTAAAGTGCGCTTTATATAGGATTAGTTCGAATCCACTGTTTCCAAAAGTTGCTATGGTCTAATTAACTTTTTCGAGACTATATATGTGAAGGTTATATTGAAAGAGAATATTATTATATAAAAATATAGTATTCCCAATCACAATGTGTAGGTTTATTAACAGTTATGATTACATATGTGACATTAAATTTTCATTCTTGATTTTAGTTAGAAATAGAAAGTTTGTTTGATTTTAAACTGCTGAGCCCAAGAATACAATTCGGTCTGATAAATAAAATTAATGTTATCCTTTATTGCTTTTATAAATGATCTAAAATTAGTTCATATATTGCTATATTTGAGAGATATAGAAAACTTCATATAGACTATAACACATTAGTTTTTTTTTAACTTACGCAAAATTGTCATTGTAAATGTGTTCTGTGCTGAATTCTTTCCGTGATCCGTTACCTTGCATCTGTAAATGCCCGAGTCTGATTTTTTAGCATTTGTAATCGTAAGATTTGACCTTCCTCGATACAATTTCAGATCAAGTATTGAACTAGAAACAATCTTGCGGTCCTAAATACGAAAAAAAAATGAAATTAACAATAGTTTAGGTTCCAATATATATTAACTATTTTATAAAAAGTTAATTGTAATATTGTTAATAATAATAATAATTAATAATATTGAAAATTTTATTGAAATATTAGATAAGTCTTAAATATAACTAAAAAATTACAACTTCAAAGTTAAATAACTGCAGTGTTAAATTAAAAATAAACAATAAAAGCAACATTTTCCATAGACTTCATGTTTCATATATCCTTTGACTTTCCTGCTGACTATACCAGTGATGACGATGAGGCCAATTCTAAAAGGTTCCTTACATGTTATGACCGTAAAAGAATATGCTTTCAAATATATTAGAATTTCAACCTTTAGTCCTAGTCAAAAACGTTTAGTTGAAGTAAAGCAATACAAACATATTGACATTTGGAAATAAAGAATTTCACACCAAATTTTTTTTAATGTAGTTTCAAATTTCGGCTCTTTTAAAGACATCTATCAATTATTTTTCGACATTGGTTTCTGTTTCGCGCCACATAGCTAAACCAATTCTCATCATTTCTTCAAAGCAAACCCTTTTCTTTCTAGACGGTTATACACTCCAATTACCCGCTTCGCTAGTGGGAGTGATAGTGAGTGATATCCGGGACGTAGACCCGGCCGTTCTGGGAACCTACCCTCCTCTCCCTTCCTTCATCCCCTGTATTACAACCCCACCTATTCACTCCTTTACCCATGTATTCGTCTTGTAATCCTTTCATGTTATCTGCTTTCATGTCCCGGTGGATTACAACACCAACAACAATAACAGTGATATCCTAGATGCGAGTGTCAATTTTTTTCATCAAAAGAGTAACTTCCATAACGGACTGGAACTGCAGTCAGTCCAGGCATCTAGCATTTAAATTTGTACTCTTAAAACCGTTTCAAATCCACAATCATTAAAACTTTTTCTCAACGGGCAATCGCCTACTCCATTGATTTTTTAGACAAATCTTCTGTATTCGATAATATTTTTCACCAAACCACTGTGTGCGATGTTTCTTGACTACAGATACAATGTGGTCAGATCTCGCGCTTTCCTTAATTCAATTTTCTTGTCACTAATTAGTCAGATATCCATAAATATAGCAAAATAAATGTGGTTGTGGTCGATTGCCTTGCTTTTATGTCAGAAAGCTTCTTTATCTTCACCACTGAGAAGGTACTTGTTTTTAAAAATGATAAAGTTCATTTTGGCTCATCTCGCACCGAATTTGATTTATCCAAAAATATCCATTTGTAATAGAACCTATCGCCTCTAGCAAGTGGCTCTATTTTCAAAATTTCTTAGTAAACTGAATACGAGTACATCTAACTAACTAACAAGATTCGAATTTTTTACGCTAAATTTTAAGCTATCAATTAGTCTTGCGGAAAGGCATAGGTTCCTCACTTCTCTTGGTCTGTTTTGAATGCTCGAACTTAATAAGGCTAAAAATATGTCATAAATCGACTATCTCACATCTATATTAAAATAAAAAGTACGTAATCTTAATTCCTTTTACATCTCTGCCGTTGCTAGTCAGCTGTAAACACACAGCAGAGGGTTCAATTTCTTATTAAATGATTTTGAGATCAATAACACCCCAATTTATCCGATCAACACACAACTTGATGTTTTCCTCTCTTCTGATGTCAAATATGTCATCTAAAATGTCGTCTTCGAACTGAAAATGTTGTTCGTAGGCATAAACAGTTTAATTACTATTTACGGTCAAAGTAATCTCACTCCTTCTCATGTACGTCTATTACAATCTATTATCAGCAATTATTTTTTTTCGAATTGAAAAATTTTGCTCATTTATTTATTTTGCTTATTTAATTGGCATATCTCCAATTCTTTATTTTACACCAATACTTGAATTATGCGCATCGATGAGTACTAACCGGCACTCTAACCTAGTGATATTACACTTCTTCAAAAGTTCTTCATCTATAAAGGTTTTTAGACTTTTGGACTTAGCAGACATTCACTAGACAATCAGCAATAACACATAGATAATGTTATACATAACCACATATATAAATATATTTACCTTATCAATTCCTTTTGGTGTCTCCCATTCCGTGGTGTATCGGACATCATGTGCAATGTTGACTTGACAGATCAAAGTAAAATTTTCACCCTCGATCCCATGTCCATATGAATCTGATATTATCGTAGGCTTATTTATGAATTTTGTGTAAGCTGTGTGAAAATTGTTCGATTGGAAAAAAAAGTTTATTAAAATAAATTCGGCATAAATTTTATTTTTATTTTTGTTAATAGACAAATACAAAAAAGTTAGATGTTAATCGGGAATAAATAAGTAATTAATTACAAAGTAGCATAAATAATAAAATTAACAAAAATGTTAAAACATTAAAGAAATAGAAAACATTGAAGTTTATAAAATTAAAAAGCGTTTGTAAAAAATTATAGCAAAAAAAGTGAAAAATTATAAAAACAATTATAATATATTATATATACATTAGTAATAAAAAGTGTATACATGCTTTAATTGGTATTCGTACTTTTTATATTTATATATTAATTAACATATATTGAATCATGCTGAACATTTTTAAATTAATATATAAATGTTTATTATTTTTTGTTTGGCAAATTAATTTAATTTAAACTATACAAAAATTAATATGCATATATAGTTAGAAACTATAAATATATAATAGTACAGTACACCTATAATATATTGGTTAAATTATTTTTAACATTTATATATTAATGTTTATATATGAGCTTAACAGTTATGTGTTTAGTTCTTTTAATTTAAAATGTTTATTACGTACGTATTTTATTTTCCATTTTATTCATATATTATATATGAGTATATTTATATTTATATATAGTATATTCATATTTTAATTGCATTACAACTAACATTGATTTATTAATTTTATCTTAAACTCATAAATTATTTTAATTTTAATATTTATATTATTTTATAATTTACTATAATTTTGTATAAAAATATAGTATATTAATATATTATGTTATTTGTACTATATATGTTAAAAGTAATATATTAATTTGTCTATTTTAATAAATTATTTACATGTTAAACGATATTTATTGTTTTCGTATATTTATTTTAGATTATTATTTAATTTCTATTAAATATAATAATATTATAATAATATTAATATTATATATATAATATTATATAATAATATGTATAATATAATTTATATAATATTATAACATGATTACCCAATAAATAAGTTTTGAATAACAAAAACAGTTAGAAAAATATATATAAATTTAAATAGTAATTTAAATAATTTGAAATTAATTTTTAAACTTACTATGAAAAAAAGTAATCTTTATTTTTTTAATTTTATGTTAATTATATTTCATTTTTTCCTTATTTATTTATTAATAATTGCATTTACATTTATATTTATATTTATATTTATATTTATATTTATATTTATATTTATATTTATATTTATATTTATAT